CCCCCATCCAATATCGTCAAACTTCAAGTAGCACCTGCAGGCGGCGGCAAAGGCCCGAATGATCATCACGGGGAAGATGGGACCAAAAGCAGGCATGCGGGGCCGCCAAGGCGGATGCACCTTGCTGGCTGGCGATTTACTCGGTCTCTCAAGATGGAGATGTGAAGGATGTGTTGCCATTCCGTCTTTTATTCGTCGAAAACTTGATAAATGCATGCTACGCTGAGTCCCGTCGCATCCAGAAATCGGTCCGTCTGCGGAAGCCTGACTCTGGCCGAGCTGGTTGTTGCGGCCACCTCCGGAGCTCCGAGACGCAGGTACTGCTGCGTACCTCTCTACCTGGTCCGGCACCTGCCCTATTAGTGCCGTTTTCCGACCTGGGTCGAGGCTTTTATGCCTCCATGCTGCTTGAGAAGCCGCTCGTGGAGGGTCGGCTGGTGAGGAGACGAGTAGGGAGGCTGCTGGCGCCGAGCACCAAGTGCCCTCCAAACAAGAAACCATGACCTGCATCAGAACTGAGATACATTCCGCGCACGGATGAGACTGTCTGTCGGCATGGAGAGCATCTTGACGACCCGGGCATGGAGGGAAACGGAGAGTATATCGAAGCACGTGACCACGCGACGGGTATCGCGCCCTGCAAAAATGACCCTTGCCAGACCCTGGTTCCCTTGCGCATCTGGCTGTCTGCGCAAGACAACCAGAGCTTGGAGGAAAAAGACATAGCAAGATGGAGATGTAGCGGAATTACGGTTTGCCCCAACCTCATCGATCGACGATCTTGGAAAAGGGGAGTGGAATGTAATCTCTTCGAAAGTCCTGCCGGAACCTCGCTCAGCTTTTGACGGCGAACATGGCCCAGCAGGCATCGATCTATCTTGGACCTGTCGATAGGAGGGACACCACAATGGTTTGGTGATTCCATGGGGGGTATCGAGCTGCCGCAGATATCGACGCTGAACGAGCAGCGGACGTCTGGGCACAGGTCCGTGGTGAAGGAAGAGAGGAAAAAGAGCAGAGCCGCGAGCGACGGGCCTGGATTTATAGAGCAGAAAATTCGGTAGTGGGTCCTGGCTGGGGGCCCACCCAATCCACGTCGTCCCCACTGTCCCCGTCACTCAGGCAAGCATCGCGCATCCATGGATGCGCCTCGCGAGGCAGTCGTCAAGTGCATTTCATCATTCGCGCTGGACCAGGTCCGAACCTCTCCCCGTCATATTTCGACCCATAGACGACAAGCGCAACACTGCATTCTTTATCCTGTAACTTGTACTGTCTGCCCCATTGCCGTCGCCACCATGGACGCCGCAGCCATCGAGGAGGCGAACAAGCTTCGCATTGCCAATGGCATGAAGCCCCTGCCAGTGCCTGGCGCCGCCGCTCCACAGCCCTCCGAGGCGATTTCCGACGAGGACTTGTCCAGCACTTTCGAGGGGAGGCAGTCGCAGGCCTACGACAACTACAGGCAGTTTCAAGAAGCCGAGGCCGCAAAGAGGAAACGAGAAGAGCGCGTTGAGGCCATCAAGAAGGCTCGCGAGCTGGAACAGCGCAACCGGGTGCTTGAGGGCAAAGGGCTGGGCGAAGAGGACGAAGGGGGCGACCTCGATGCCAAGGCCTGGCTCAAGAGCCAAAAGAAGCGACAGAAGAAGATAGAGCAGGCCAAGAAGGCCGAGGAGGAGCGGGAGAAGTCCGCAGCGGCGGTGGCGGCCGCCAGGGCGCACGATGCCCGCGACCTGGCTGGCGTCAGGGTCGGCCATGACATATCCACTCTGCTCGACGATGGGGAGCAGGTTCTGACGCTCAAGGATACCACAATTCTCGAGAATGAGGATGAGGGTGACGAGCTGGAGAATATCGATCTTCGGGCTCGCGAGAAGCTTACAGAACAGCTTGATCTGAAAAAGAAGAAGCCAGTATACGACCCGAGCAACTTTGACGAGACGGGAGAACACAGTATCTTGGCACAATACGACGAGGAGATCTCAGGGAAGAAGAAGAAGGCGTTCACATTGGACTTCCAGGGTAGCACAGCCGAGTTGGCCGATATCCTGGGCGAGCCAAGCGAGAAGCCCAAGGTTGGGAGCGTGAGCCTGGACATCATAGGTAGGAACTCCCACCCGCTTTTGAATCATGTGTTTCTTTACTAACTTTCCGTCTAGACAACCCGGTATCCGACTACCTTGACGTCTCCGAGATAAAGATTAAGAAGCCCAAAAGGAAGAAGAAATCCAGGTCCACTCGTCAGCGCGCGGTGGATGACGATGACTCTCTGCTTCCGGTTGATGGATCGGCGGCCCTGGACGACAGCAGCGCAATGCTGGTAGACTCTGAGCCAACAACCTTTGCCAAGAAGAGAAAGGTCGTCGACGACGAGTTTGTGGACGACGACGATCTCCAGGCAACTCTAGCAGCACAAAGGCGCGACGCTCTCAAAAAGAGGAAGCGTGTGCGCCCGGAGGATATCGCGCGGCAGCTGAAGGAGGAGGCGGAGGCACCCGACGCAGGAGCCGGGGATGCGCCTAAAGGCCTGGTGATTGACGAGATAAGCGAATTTGTCGGCGCGCTGAAAAAGAGCCAGGTGGATGAGCGCAAGCCCCGTCCTCAGGCACAGCCGCAATCCATGACGGCGATGGATGAAGCCTCCGACGATGAGGATGTGGAGATGGAAGGAGCACAACAAGACTCGGAGGCGCTGGCCCCAAATGTGCTAGAAGACCTGGACACCATTGGCGTCGACAAGGAGAAGACTGTGGCCCAGGGCATGGGGGCTACGCTACAGATCTTGCGCGAGCGTGGCCTCATCAAAGAGTCTGGGGCGGGAGACCTGAACGACCGCTTCCGTGACCACCAACAGTTCCTGACAGAGAAGAACAGACGACTCGCCAAGATCGACGAGGACGCTAAGCGCCAGCGTGAGCGAGACCGAGCCAGCGGGCATCTGGACCGCATGTCGACAAGGGACCGGGAGGAGTACGCGCGGCAGCAGAACACGCAACGAGATCTACAGGCATCTAAGATAATGGCTGAGTTGTTCAAGCGCGAGTACACTCCCAACTTTGATATTAAGTATACGGACGAGCACGGGCGCAGGCTGGATCAGAAGGACGCCTTCAAGCACCTGAGCCACCAGTTCCACGGCAAGGGCAGCGGCAAGGGCAAGACGGACAAGCTGCTCAAGAAGATCGACGCCGAGAAGCGTCGCGAGGCCCAGGCCATGCTCGACGATAGCAAGAATGCCGGGACGGGCTCAACGCAGCCGAAGCAGCGCAAGGATGCTGGCGTTCGCCTTGCTTGATCTTTTGCTGTTCCTTGCAAAGAGGCGTGGCCAGGGCATCAGCGCCTCGAGCTCTTCTCTGTACCTAGATAGTCCACCTGAGAATTTCTAGCGGTTATATCGAGTTGAATATAGTCGCAATGGCGCCGTTTGCTGTTGGCGGAACTTCTCTTTTGTCCAGCCGAATCTCCTGTAAGGTGGTTGTGCAGAAGGTCTGTTTATCTGTGAAACCATAACTCTGGGTATTGGGCTTTTGTGGCCCCTCCCCCTATATGCCTTCTTCCACCTGTTCACGTTGCTACCCTCCTGCCAGCTGTTGATCGTTTCACAAGCCAACACCAAGCTAGCGTTGATGGTTGATATGCACGCTTTCCTGATTCGGCAAGCTGTGGTGCCAAGGATTGCATGGCCCGCTTCCACCAATCCCATAATGCCAGCCAGAGCGGGATGATGTCATGTACCCAGCAGCGATGCCCTTTCGTGCCTGCGCCAGCAGAGACATACCGTCATTGACACGATGCGAAGCCAGAGACAAGGAAGGAAATGGCCGGACAAGACGCCAGTGGCTGCTCGCTAAGGGCCGCTTCAGTGCATGCACGACGAAAACCTGAACTTGGCTGGAACCCCTCTCTCGCATGTGCTTCAGATCACATCCCTTCTGATCGTTTCGAGCCTTGGAATATCGTGTATTTTAAAAGCCTACCATCCCAGGCCCAGTCTCCTCAACGGCTGCGTCACCTCTTCTTCCTCCGCATTCGCGTAGTACCAAGCTCTCTTGTCCTCCCCATAATTCCTATGCTTGAGTGCACATCCGTTTAGGGGTCTAGGGTTGCCTCTCGATCCACATCCTACCTCTACCTCGGTGACCTCTACCCTCTCCTAGACCATTGATCTCCTCGAGCTGCCCCGCCCTCCCTGTATCTCTCCGTCAGCGGTCGGTCAAACACTCAGAAGCCAGGTCTCACACCTAGACACCTTCAACCTCGCGTGGCGCTTCCTCCCCAATAGCCGCTGCCTGGCCAGGCCACCCCAGACATGGCCGACATCCAGGAGACGGTGATACCCTCGGGGCAGCACTACTCGGGCGCACACAGGGTACCGAACATCAAGCAGTTCATGGCGAGCTTGGATAAGCAGAAAAAGGAGCGGGACGCCCAGATCGAAGCCCAGGGCGGCGATCTGCAGAACGGCACGGCGACAGAGGCCGCGCCCGACGGCGAGGCGATCGCCCACTCCGACTCGCCGGGGAGGAACATTGGCAAGAACCGGCGGACGGTGCGGGATCCCATCACGGGCAACGACGTCGAGATCGCCGACGTCGACTCGTCCCTCATGAAGAAGGCCAAGAACCCGCAGCTGTCGGTCCCGAACGCCAACCTGGGCAAGAGCACGCCCGTCAAGACCGACGCCAGCCAGTCGGGCGAGGAGTACCGGCGCAATCAGGACGTCACGGCGCCGCCGGACCCCGTCGCCAACGGCAGCACGAGCGACGTGCCCATCCATGGCGAAAAGACCAAGTACGTTGTCCCTATGTGACCCTTCTTCCACCTCCAGACCTATATCCGAGCCGACAGCCTGCGTCTACTCCCGTCCAGCGATTCGAGTTGGTGCTAACTGATCTTCTTTCTCAGCGTGTTGTTCCATCCCACCCCCTCGGTTAGCTTCGAGCCCATGTACGACGCCATCGAGGCGCGCGCCAACCTGCTCTGTGCCGGCATCTTTTTCTCCATCATCTTCATGGGCCGGTTCTTTGGTGGCAGCTTATGGGGTTTGATCCCCTTGGCCTCCTGCATCTCCTCGGGCGTCTTCCTCTGGGCCAAGGATTTGGTTCGTCGCGGCCGCGACCTCGAGTGGTCTAGCGAACAGAAGCGTGGCGAGACGGCCGTCGTCAACTTGATCCCCGAATCCGTCGAGTGGCTGAACACGGCGCTCGGTCTGATCTGGGGCCTGATCAACCCCGAGATGTTTGCAGCTGTTGCGGACACGCTGGAAGACGTCATGCAGGCCAGTGTACCTGGCGTCATCGAACACGTCAAGGTCAACGACATCAGCCAGGGCACCAACCCCTTGCGCATCCTAAGTCTCAGGGCCCTCCCGGATAGCCATGTCCAGGACCTCAAGGATGAAATCAGGAAGCAGGACGAGCAGACAAAGGACCCCCAGGAGCTGGCTGCCGATGAGGAAGGTGGTGAATTTTACAACCTTGAGGCTACCGTCGCCTACCACGCCTTGCCGTCGACCGGAGACGTCTCGTCCAAAGCTAGGAACATGGGCATGCAGCTTGTCTTCTACCTCGGCGTCAAGGGCCTGTTTGGAGTGCCATTTCCCATTTGGGTCGAGTTGAATGGGCTTGTTTCCACCGTCAGGCTTCGCATCTCGCTGGCCCCTAACCCCCCTTTCATCAAGACGCTCAGCTTCACGCTCATGGGCCTTCCCAAGGTGGAGGCGAGCTGTGTTCCGCTCGTGGAGAAGGGCGCAAACATCCTCAACCTGCCCGTCATCAGCAACTTTGTCAACTGGGCCATCGCCACGGCTGCCAACATGTACGTGGCGCCCAAGTCCATGACGCTCGACATCGGCAAGATGCTCCAGGGCGACAACATCAAGAAGGAGACGGAGGCGCTCGGCGTGCTCTTCATCCGCATCCACAAGGCCGTGGGCCTGAGCAAGCAGGATCGCCGTGGAAGCCAGGGTGGTGGCTCGGATCCGTACATCTGCGTGGCATTCTCCAAGTTTGGCAAGCCCCAGTACTGCACCCGAGTCATCCAAGATAACCTCAACCCAGTCTTCTCCGAGTGCGCCGCCCTCCTGGTGACGGCGGACGTGATCAAGGCCGACGAGCAGCTGTCCCTGGAGCTGTGGGACAGCGACCGCGGGAGCGCCGACGACGTGGTTGGCAAAGTCGAGCTCAGCATCCAGAAGCTGATCCAGCACGCGGGAAAGATGTTCCCCCAAATCTCCAAGCTGCGCGGCGTCAAGGCCGAGAGCACGATGCCCGGCGAGCTGCACTGGGAGGTCGGCTTTTTCGGAAGGACGCAGTTCCGCAGGGCGCTAATGACGGACGGCAAGGACCCCAACCTCCCCAAGGAGCTGCGCGACAAGGAGGAGCTTCAGGACGACAAGGGGGTTCTCGAAACCTCGGAAGAGGAGGCGGTCGTCACCACACCCCCAGATCCGCTGTGGCCAAGCGGCATCGTTAGCGTCGTCGTGCACCAGATCGTCAACCTAGAGCTCGAGAACGTGAAGGGATCCAACGGCAAGCGCAAGGGCCGCGAGTTTGAGCCGGCCCGCCCCGAGGCTGGAGAGCTCAAGGAAGAGCAGAGCAAGAAGCTTCCCAGCTCATACTGCACCATCCTCGTCAACGATGAGTTGGCCTACAAGACGCGCACCAAGGTGGTCTCTTCCAAGCCCATCTTCGAGGCCGGCACCGAGCGTTTTATCCGCGACTGGCGGTCTGCCATCGTGACAGTCACTGTCCGAGACTCGCGCAACCGCCAACACGATCCGATCATCGGCGTCGTGCCACTGCGGCTATCTGACGTGCTTCTGACTAGTTCCCAGTCGACGCGTTGGTACCCCCTTGATGGCGGCATCGGGTTCGGTCGTATCCGCATCAGCCTCCTGTTCCGGTCTGTCGAGCTGAAGCTTCCGCCATCAATGGTCGGATTTGGCGAGATTGGCACGTTCGAGTTCTTGTCCGACGACATCACCACGGCAAACTATCCCGCCCACAAAGCCAAGATCCATCTCCGCACCGGTGGCAGCTCAGCGACTATCAAGAGCGACAAGTGCACACCCTCCGAGGACGGCAGCCAACTGCGCTGGGACATCAGCGGCAACGAGGACTCGGCCAAGATCCGCCTCCCGGTGCGATACCGCTACCGCAGCCCTGTATTCTTCGAGTTCGTTCAGTCCGGGAAGCGCAAGACGGACCACTATGCCGTTTTCTGGCTGCAGGACCTCGTGGACAACGAGGAGCGCGACTTTGACATTCCCATCTGGAAGTGCAACAACGGCACGCGGCTTTCGCAGAACTACATCACGGAGGAGAATTACAAGTCGATCCCAGACGTCGACATCGAGGAGGTCGGTCGAGTCCGGTTCAGGGGCCGCTTCAAGCCCGGCACGGACCGTGACCACCTCAAGTTTGTAAGCGACAACGACTCTCGCGAGACGATTGAGAGCTGGGAGGCGTGCTTCGCCGAGGGCGTCCGTACGGAGGAGGTCCGCGGCGAGGTGCCGCCCCTCATCCAGAAGCTCCACGACGTGTCCCTGACGCAGGGCCGGGACGTGCTCGCGGCGGCCCCAGACAGCGACAAGGAGAAGTGGCTCGCGAAGGACGGCACAGACTGGAGCGGCGCGTTCGGGCAGGACCCGGCGGACCTCATCGGCCACCGCGGCCAGGACGACGAGCTTGACGGTTATGATAACGACGACGGCTCGTCGGGCACGGGAGAGTCGAGCGGCGTGGACCTGGGCATCACGGACGCAACGACCAACGAGAGCGAAGGTCTAACCCAGAGCCCGAGCAGCAGCCCCACGCAGTCCCGGGTGCGGGAGTCGCTGGACAGCAATGCCAGCGCGGAGTCGAACAAGAGCGACAGCAAGAACCCGATCAAGCAGTATAAGGACTACAAGGACAGGAGCCGCGACCTCCACCGCAAGCACCGAGGGCTGATGCAGTGGTGAGTCTCTCGTCTGGAGGACTACGTCAGAGTAGTCGTCTTGTTGCTAACCTGAATATCTGCACTCAGGAGACCGATGCGCAACGTCCAGTTCGTCAAGGACGAGGCGACATTCGCAGCCCGCCGCGTCGTGAAGGTTGGCAGCCTGAATGGCCGAAAGCCAGACGTTGAGACTGAGGTGTGATTTCCAGGCGCCGAGCGTTCCTTTTACGATACCGACACCAAAGGCGCAAGAAGCTTCCGGGCTCTGAAGAGTGAGGGCGACGAACACGCCGTCGACCATGCGCAGTCAAGACTTGGAGTGATGACGAAACTGCACGACCTGCGAGCCCGCGCTCCAACACGTATAATGATGCAAGGGAAGGGAGGGTTTTTGTAAGATTAATGATTAGGTTTAGGTTGCGGGAGAAATGGACTGGATGAAAAGGAAAAAAAAAAAACGTGGCTGTCGATGAAAGAGCATGGTTTCCCTCAGCAGTGAATGCACTGAGAATACAATGTTTCGGTACCCCTTTAGGCGTTCTCCACACCGAGTATTAGCGCACCCCCCGCAGTGACATCGGCTCGGGACTTGCTGGGATCTTTGGTGACTTTGATTATTTGACGTGGAACCTCTTTCCAAAATTCCATTCTCGTTCCATCGCAACTTTAAGACCTCATATCCCAGACCTTTCACGCAACTCCTACGGCGACAACCGCATAAACGACGACATCCAAAGCAGCCGCCTGCCCGACCACCCCCACCTATCCGAAGCCTCACATTTGCTTTCCACCCTCCCGTCGCGAACATGTCGGGCAAGCTCTACAGCCCCTACAACAGGCGCAAGCCGAGCAACACGCTCGTCATCGTGTGGTGCAGTGCCTTTTTCACCCTCCTAATCCTCACGTGGTGGATCTCGACGAGGCACAGCGAGACGGCCAGGAGGTACGCCGACAAGTTCGCCGAGCCGCCCAGGCACGACGACTAAAATCCATCCGTCGATCGGTAAAGGCGTCAGACGAGAAGGATGGCATCACGAACGAGGAGACGATACCGCAACGAACAATGGGGAGGGGGGGGCTTAATTGGCTTGGGCGAACAAACACACGAGAACAAAGGGCATTGGCAGGGCCCGTGGCTTGAAGGATGACAATGACGGACTTGATTGTCTCGAGACAGAGGCCTCGGGGCAAAGCCGATTGTTGGGGAACAAGAATGGGCGGGCAAATGAACCCGGGCCTCCCCCAGCTCACATACAAATGGCGGCAGCTACCTAGATCAACCTATAACGAAGTTTTAATCTTTCCCGCCTACAGAGCCCTGTCGTCTCCTTGCTACAAATCAGCCATCGAGACAGGTATCAGTAAGAAGAAAAAGGGGGCAAGTCAAGCAAAGCACACCAGCAAACCATGCCGTCCTCGTCCAACACGACCGTCGACAGCCGCGTGTGCAACTGCCACCAGTGCCTGTCCGCTCGGCACAGCATCCTCGTGTATGGCGGCTACACCAGCGCAGTCCCGGCCGGCGGCGACGACGACGACGACGACGACGTGATCCTCCTGAGGCGCCCGGCCGGCGTGTACACGGGGCAGCACCGCGCCAGCACAATCATGAGCATGGGCCGGTCGGGGAAGCGGGCCATGGCGCGCATGCAGCTCGCCGAGCGCGCCCAGAGGGAGCGTGCCGCCGCCGCCGCCGCCGCCGTCGTCGTCCGGACGGCGGCGCGCGCGCCCGTGCAGAGCCTCGTCATCGCCGCCGATGCCACCCAGGCTGAGTGTGTTTGCTAGCTTGCTGGGCGGCGTTGCGCTGGTACAACGTGTGTCTTGTTACAAGGCAAATTCCCGAGGATGACGTGACAATAGCGTGGGGGGGGGGGGGGGGGGTTTTGGGTTTTTTTTTTTTACTTGTTTCTCATTGCTGTCGTCGGATTCATGTTGATAGCAGGCCCGCCGGCGTCGGCAGGCTGCTTCGCTGTTGGATATCGTACAATGTGGAGTAGGTATGTTGCAACTTCTACCCTTGCACCCCTCTGGTTTCAATCTTTAATATCCGCTCAAGAATTTACGCCATGCCCATTAGCCCAAGAAGAAGACGTGCCGAATAAAAGTGAATGCTGGTGGTGATTTCAAGCCCCCCTCCCTGTCCCATGATGTGAGGATGAAGAAAATGGTAGAAACATGACTGATAAGTATATGTGCGGGAGTTTTTTTTTGTTTCTTTAGGAGCATATTAGATCCGAAGGAATAGGTGTATCCCTCCTGGTACCCGCCTGCTCATGCGCAAACAGGTCTTCCGACCCGAGCCTGGAGATGGACCGGTGTTTGCGCGGCAGCGTGGGCGTGACCAGGTCCACATCCATATCCCCGTCGCCTAGATCCAGCCCGGGGCGGGGCGGCAGGAAGTCGAGGTCGGACACGACACTGCTCGCGTCCGACATCTCGACGTCCTCCCCCTCCTCCCCGGCGGCGTCCGACGACGCCGACCAGCCGCCCTGGCTCAGGTCCGACGACTCGATGCTCGGCGTGATCTCCTCGGGCGCCGGCCGCGGCGGCCCGCCGTGCGCCAGGCACCGCGCAGTGTCGATGCTCAGCGGCCGCCGCCGCTGTATCGCCGTCAGCGGCTCCTCGGACACCGCCCGCGCCGCCGCCGCCGCCGCCGCCCGCGTGGTGATGCTTGATGATGGTGGCGTCGCCGCCGCGGCGGAGATGGCGGCGCTCACGGCGGCCGTCACGATGGCCAGCTTCGCCGCGCCCGCCGCGCTTCGCGCCCGCGGCCGCGGGTTTGGCGCCAGGACCACGGGCGCCGCTGCTGCGGAATTAGGGGTTATTGCTGCTGTTGGTGCCGCCGCCGTCGTCGTCGTCGTCGTCGTCATCGTCATTGTGGGTGTTGCCACCGCCGTCATGGGGGTCCCGGCAGCTGCGGCCTCGGCGGCCCTGGCGGCGGCGATGGCGCCGCCGACCTCGTCGCCGTCGCCGGCCTCGTCCTCGACCCCGATGGTCCAGACCCAGCGGCGCTTCTTCTCCTTGCGCTTGCTGGCGGCGCCCCCTGCTCCCCGCTGCTTGCGGACGCCGCTGCTGCTGGGCGACGATAGCGGCGAGGACGCCGCCAGGCCCGCCATGCGCCGCCGCATCTCCTCGAAGGGCCCGGGCGTCTGCCCGCCGTCGCGCGTCTCGTCACCCGTGTACGCCATGGCCAGGTCCAGCACGATGGTCTCTGGCTGCGTTGGGGTGATTATCGTCGTTGACGCGGCGGTGGCGGCGGCGGCGGCGGCGGCAGCTGTAGTTGTAAAGTTCCCCGTCGTCGTGGTTGGGGTCGTGGCCGGGGTCGTGGTGGCCTGGAGAGGAGGGTTGGTGGTGGGCGAGGCCGAGTAGGGCGAGTTGGCGGCCTCCTCGCACAGCAGGTCGATGTGCGACTTTGTGTACTTGTTGGTGGTGATGGTCTGCTCGAGCGGGCTGTCGTACTCGACGCGGCGCAGAGCCTTCTCGCGCAGGCGCTGCGACTGCCGCCGCGGCGACACGGGCGACCGCGCCGGCTTGGGCGGCAGCGGCGAGTTGCGCAGGATGCTGTGCAGCGACCGCGGGTGCGTGTAAGGGGGCGCCCCGCCTGCCCTCCCCGGTGCTGTGGCGCGCCGCCTGGGTGTGCGAGGCGACATTGCCGCCGGCGTCCTGGGGTTCCCGGTTGTGGTGGGAATGGCGGCGGCGGCGGCCAGCCTGGAGGCGACGGTGTCCTCGCACGAGAAGCTGAAGGCGCGGTTGTCGATGGCCGTCTCGACGGGACCGGCCGACAGCGGCGGCGTGGCGGTCATGGCGCTGGGGAACTTGATCTCGCGGTAGACGGCCGGCGACCGGGGCTGCGCCGTCAGGGGCGTGTCGGGGAACATGCCCGAGGGGGGTGGTGCAACACCAATCTGGATCTGCGGGCCCGTCTGCAGCTTGAGGGCCGGGAGCCTGGCAGCAGCGGACGAGGAGGATAATGACGAGGACGACGACGTCCGGATCGCCGTGAGCGGCTCCGGGACGATGGGGCTGGCGCACGACGACTTGCCGATGGCGGTCACGTAGACGTTGGAGAGCGTGTTGAAGGAGGTCGGCGAGGTCGGGTTCACGACGGCGGCGAGGGTCCGCGAGGTGCGCACGCTGGGGCCGTTTGATATGGCCCTGATCTGGAGGGATAGCCTCGGCCTCTTGGGCGGGCTGTCGGGGCTGGGGGCCATTCTGGCGATGTGATTCGTCTCGTCCCTGTGCGACTTGAGCGCGGACAGAGAAGAGGAAGGAGGCCGGAGGTGGTGCTCGGTTCAGGAGACTCGGTCGGAGCCCCTATCCTCGGCGGAAGCTGCCCTATGACACAAAGTTGACTGAACAAACGTATGAGGAACACCTTCTTTGCAGGGGAGGAAAAGGAGATGCTAGATAAAGCGAGTAGAGGAGAGGAAGAAGAGCTGGCAAAAGGTTCACGTGAGGAATCCCACGAGGCACAGCGCAGCAGTAGCCCAACTCGTCATCCCAAGGGGGTGCACAGGCGAGAATAGAATCGGATGAGAAGCAGAGAAGTATATTTAATTTTAGGGGCGGCACAGCACAGTAGGCCGGGCGAGAGGGTGGGTGGGTGTTACGGCGGCTATATACGTGAGCACAAGAACCTGACCGTCACCCTCCCGCTCTCCCCCCTCGACAGCGACCCAACGAGGAAAGTGGAACAAGCGCAGGCGCCGACTCTGGCTCACATGCTTAGGCGCGGTCCTCGCACTCCGATCCGGAGATGGGGCACTGGGTGATGGGCACGCCGCAACCCAGGCGAGCGACGGGCCATGTTAGCCGCGTGCTGGGAGCTGCAGGAGGACGGACATGGGGGGAGAGTTGAGGAGTTGGGGGTGTATCGTCCCAATAGTCTGGTAGGTAGTCTGACAGGGCTCCTTGGTCCACGGCGCTTAGGCCGGCCTCTCACTTGCTCGAACCCTTGTCGACAGGGAGGGGCGCATCTGCATGGCACCGGCTTGCCCAATCAGGAGCGACATCACACAGCAGCGCTAAGGCTGGGAACAGGCCCCCGCTACTCGTGCGGGCTTCGTTTTTTTTCTCCTCCCCGAGCACGAAAGAGCGAAGAAGGATATCTAATCTGCCTGCTGGCTGTCTGGCACATCGGAGCAAAGGCAGCAGAAAAAGGTCGCCTGAGCTGTCTCTGTTTCACAGCCCAAATGAGTTGCCCCGTTGGCCTGAACAGTCGCCTTTTGGCTGACTGTTCGGCCAGGCCTCAAGCTGGGATTGATCGAGCGAGAGTGCCTTTCAAACATGTGTTGTGGGATGTAAAAAAGCGGAGAAGCTGAATTGATTCTTCCAGAACACCTCTTTTTAGCGTCATTTTTGTATATCTTAGTAATCCCCAGTATCAGTACCACGTCTGGCGTCGAAAAGGGGCCATGGCTTTGTCCACTGGGGGCCACTACCACCCAAGAACGGGCCATCCCCAGCCCGGTCATCCGGTAGTGATAATTTTGACTATATTCCCTGTCCCCTCCCCGCCTATTCACTTGACCGGTCATTGCTCCCACTCAATGACCGGGGCAGATACATGTTCCAAGGATCGCTGACTACCTAGACGACATGCATGTCAACGCTTCAGTACTACGACGCTAGGCATTATGCGGAAGGAGCCCCAAGTGAGCAGCGGGATGGACCACTCGGTCGAGATATAATCACCGTGCTCGACCCCACCCCTTGTCAAGTACACCAAGTATAACATTGGCTTCACCCTGTGCTCCCAGCAGCCGCATTCTGTGCCAGAACCAGCACACGACACGATCAAGATGCACTGCAAAAAAGTCATCGCCTTCATATGGAGCCTTTCCGCAGGCGTGCTGGCAACCTCGGTGGTGCCGCCCAGCGCCTGGGACTACCCGTACCCATGGCCCGTCCGGTTCTATAACATGACGTCGCAGAGGCTCCAGCTGTCCATGGCGTACATGGACGTCGCCCCTGCTCCCGAAGCCGCCGCCGCCTCCCACAACCGCAGCACTGTGGTCCTCCTGCACGGCAAGAACTTTTGCGGCGCCACCTGGGAGCAGACGGCACGCGCCCTCTCCGCGCGCGGTCACCGCGTCATCGTACCGGACCAGGTCGGCTTCTGCAAGTCCTCCAAGCCGCCGTCGTACCAGTTCTCGCTGCAACAGCTGGCCTTCAACACGCGCTCGCTCCTGGCGGCGCTCGGCGTCGACCGGTCCGTCGTGCTCGGCCACTCCATGGGCGGCATGCTGGCGGCCCGCTACGCCCTCATGTACCCGGCGGCCACGGAGCGCCTGGTCCTGACCAATCCGCTCGGGCTAGAGGACTGGATGGGCCTGGGCGTACCCTACCGACCCATCGACGAACTGTACAAGGGCGAGCTGGCCACGACGTACGACTCGATCAAGGCGTACCAAATGGCTACTTACTACGTCAACACCTGGAAGCCCGAGTACGACGTCTGGGTCCGCATGCTCGTGTCCCTGTACAAGCTCCCGGGGGCCGAGGGCGAGACGTTCGCCTTCAACATGGCGCAGGCGACCGAGACGGTCCTGACGCAGTCGGTGGTACACGAGTTCGGCAACATCAGGGCGAGGACGCTACTGCTGATCGGGGCACGCGACAACACGGCCATCGGCAAGCAGTGGAGCCCCCCAGAGGTTGCGGCCCTGCTGGGAAACTACGAGAAGCTGGGCAAGGAGGCCAGAGATCGCATCCCCGCGGCCGAGCTGATCGAATTCCCGGACCTGGGCCACAGTCCGCAGGTGCAAGACTCTGAGGCTTACCACGCAGCGCTGCTGGGATGGCTGGAGGCGTAGGTAGGCAGGTATTAATAGCTGGTAGTAAGGTAAGGCTGGTGCATTCGAGGTCAATAAAATCATGTTATAGAGCCACATACCGCATCCTTGCTCGGGTTACAAGGTCCCGAAGGGCCAATCAAGCGAGATCATGCATGTTATAAGAATGGCTCGACCTCACTTTGCGCGGCCTCCTCTTTCTAATCCTTGACACCCAGCGGCCCCCGGACTTGCATTTTTACACCGACCTCCGCAGCATTGAATAAAACCAAAGCCATGACACCCTCAGTCGACGCCCCGGCGCACTGGTGCTCTATCCCTCCCAACCGTGTCGGTCCATCGCCCTGGCCTGCGGCAAGCACCGCCACCTACCGCTTGTGCGGGACATGTGAACAGCTAGATTTTAAGCACCTACAGCGTGATGATTCATTTCCCTCCAACAAGGCCATGCTCGAGCATGGCCTGGGCGGAATACGGGGGAACAAGGGGACTTGCGACCTGTGCGCCGTCTTCTGGCATGCCCTTCACAAGCCCGTCGGGGAAAACAGTGACGGGTCATACCCGGACCAAACGCATGTTGTTATACACTGCCCAGACCTAGCATGGCTGCCACACGCTTTCCGTCCGCGGCCGGCCTACAAGTCTTCATACGTTCTGGCTAGCAGAAACAACCCCGACCCGGCCTATGCCATCGCCATCCTTGTTCCGTATATTACATGGAGGCTCGGTCGCGCTGTTGGCGACCCCAATCAGCACAGCTGGATAACGTCTTCTGGGACGAAGTTGGACGGTTGAAGGTTTATCTTCGAGGCTCGAAAAAAGGTATGATAACACCCCATCGTCACAGCCCTCATGTATTGTAAGTGCCTCATGATGCGATTTTTCTCTCGTCTCCGCCCCGTGGGACGATGCCGTCTCCTTCGAAAACTCCAGGCTCTGCCAGGAGCTCAAAGACAGCGAATGGGGCGCCCGGGCTTGGGTGTTCCAAGAGACGTATTTCTCGCGCAGGGTGGTCCGCTTCGGAGCAAGTCACATCTACTGGGCTTGCTGGGCTTGCCGAGAGTTTACCGCCTGCCAGACGAGCCCTTGGCACGAAACATTGGACGACTGGATGGCACAGGAAGATGTTTTTGTCTCCAGCAGGGGTTCCGGCGGCCACCTCGTGCGCCACTGGATGAAGGTGCTGCAGCGGTACAGCCGCACAAGACTCACCTACCCGTCGAACCGCTTCCCAGCAATCGCGGCAGTCGCCCGAGAATGGGAACTGGCCCTTGGCCGGAGCTACGCGGCAGGTCTGTCGGTAGATCCCGAGTCTCTTCTCTGGATTCGTCGTGCCACGACGCGGGACTCCGACCGCTGGGGATACCACCATCGGATCGAGGTATATTTACCCCTAATACTGTCCAACCTGCACTTGGCTGCCCGCTGATGTATCCCGCTCTCCGAGAGAACAGCCGCGACTTGGAGCTGGGCGCATCGGGAAGGCGCCGTCCAGCCCTTCATGCGCAATACCGAAAAGTTCACAAGCCACATCAAGCCGACCGATATCCAACTGCTCAGGTCTGGCGACGAGCACAGCCACCACCAGTCCGCGCTGGTGTTTTCCTCCTTTGTGCGCGCGGCCACACGTTCCCCAGACCCGGTGGATCATGGCGTGGTTCCCATGCACGGCTACGTCGAAACGATGCGCGGCCTTACCTATCACGCCGTCTCTAACCCCGGCCACGACGGGTTCGTCATCCTCGACGACCCGGGCTCTGCCCCGATCGACTTCGAGCTGCTTTCCATCGGCGGCTGCTTGGTCGAGATCGAACCCGCGTACAATGGGCTGAACCTCTCCCTAGCCGTCGAGCGAACAATGAAGCCGGAGCACATGCGGGCGGGCGACCTTCCTCAAAATTCCTACCGGCGATTGGGCATCGCTTTTCATGTTCGTGGGAATTTTGGTCCTGTTGTATCTGCTCTCCACTCGGGAAGCTTAGGGTCCTGTAGGCAAAGTTGCAAAAAGGATATTAGAAACAGACAAAACGGACAGGTGTAAGTCCCTCTCCCATCACCTCCGACCCCTTTTATTTGCCAGTCTCTTCGGCTTCTTTGGTATTCAAACTCGGTTGTGCTCACCTTGCATCTCTCTTTAGTTTCAACCGAGGGCTATCCTGCGCCGGCACATGCGCTGGCAAGAAGTCGCTCTGATATAGGGACATACTCAGGATGTCGGACATGCATGAACGGCCACGGTCTCGGGGCGCTTATAGGCGGCGGCTAACCTCCCCGCCGCTTCACATATTCGAAGTCGGATAAGGAGTAATATTGGTACTCCCCTGGCACAAGCATGGATCCCCGCCTGGCTCGAGATAGTGTGTGTGACGAAATCTGGCGCGCTTAACTTGGCCGAGTCCAGCAGCTGATTTGTGGGAGAGACGAGGGTCAGCGTGAGCTACAGCCCCCGCCCCGACAGCTTGGAACGCCTCCACCACGCTAGTTGCCCGGATTAGAAATCCTGGGCCCAAAATGGAGTCCGAGAATTCCGGGGCGGCATGTATGGCTGTGTTTGCTTTTTGATCTGCTGCGTGGGAGCCTTTTCTCACATGACAGCTGCTAGTGTGACAGCGGTAGACTTTGTGCTGGGCAGCCTTCACCCCACCGCCCGTCACACTTTGAGCTAGCCAAGCGTCCGCAGCCCAAGGAACTACAGACCCATCATGGTAACCTGTGAAGAATCCTTCCCTTGCCCAAAGGGAGCTGCCAGCGAAGGTTGGCGTGTCAGAGTAGAATGTGAAGTACATAGGAGAGAATATAGAAGGAAGGAAGAAGCAGTCAAGTCAAAGCGCAAAAGCAGCGTGCTTTGCTCACCCGAACACTCCCCACAATTTATCCCATGCTGGCAGACAGGCTGCTGGCCTAAAACAGTCAGTCTGAACATCCTCACCAAGCGACCAAACTCGGCGAGTCACCCATGTAAAGGTTAGGTGCCCCTAAATCATCTCCAAGCCATCTCATAACCATGAAAACGTAGCGTGCTATAGGTAAGCTGAGACAAACCCTTCCAGTATGAGGGTTTACAGTGCTTTTAATGACCTAAAATGTTTTTATGCAGTGGATGCGGTTGTGTTTGATCACGACATGAAATCGGCGCGGTGAAGGCAGCACAGGGACGTCACAGCGCAAGCGGGCTGCTAAAAGCCGCTGTGGCTGGCGCGTGTGGGCCTGCTGATTTTGGCGGTCTAGGGCAGCAGGCTGGGTCTGGTGGATGGATGCTGGTGCTGCATGACTGCTGCTTCCCTTCAATTCAGCAACTCAGCAGAGCGACAAGCCTCGGCACACCTAGTCAATCTCCATCGACCGGAGATGTAGGTGCCAGGCATGTCGCAACTTCTGAAGGGAAAAAGCAAAGCGCAAAACACGTCGCCTGCCCTCTTCCTTCACTCCTCGCCCGCCGGCTCCAATGTGTCGCTCACGGCGGCGGGCGCTGGCCTGAGCCCGCCGCAGGGGCACTCCTCGGTCCAGCGAAACTCGTCCCTCCGCCACCACCACGAGCACGCCGCGTCCCCGGCCGGCGGCGCTCAGACCAGCAATGGCGGCGGCGGCGGCGGCGGCGCCCCCACGGCCTTTCGCTCGGCCGGCCTCGGCGGCATCTCGCTCCCGCTCAAGCTCCGGCAGGAGTCCACACGCGCGACCGATAGGACGGACGCGCTGTGGGCCGAGATGCAGGCCACGCTCGAGGAGGTGGAGCTGTCGGCCAGCGGCGGCACGCGCGTCTTCGGCCCGGACCACGACCACAAGCTCGCGGGCCTGCGGGCCGCGCAGATAGCGCTCGCGCAGGCCTGGGCCCGCAGCGAGGCCGACGAGGCCATCGAGACCACCCTCTCCACGGATGGTGCGGCAGCGGCGGGCGGCGGCGCTGCTACTGCTACTGCTGCCGCCGCTGCGGGGGCGAACAAGGACAGCGTTGGCGGCGCCGGCGATGCTCAGACGGGCAAGACGGAAGGGGCCGCCGGGGCCGGCAGCACGGGCAGCGCGGCGCGTCCTGGCAGCCCCGGCGGCAGGGGCTCGGAGCGGCTCGGCGCCAAGATGGAGGAGGAGACCGAGGTAGACATCCTGCTGGCGCGCAAGCGGAGGGAGGCCAACGACCGGTACTTCCACCGGGTGAACCAGGGCGTGCTAGACGTGGTGGCACGGCTGGACGAGGTCGCGGTGGCGATGCGGGCGGTGGAGCAGGAGAGCAAGGACATCTGGGGCGAGGGCGAGCACTATCAGGAGCATGAGAGTGTTGCGGGGAGCACTAAGACGTAATGGGATGGCACAGACTACGTTTACATGTTGCTCTGTCTACATAATTGGTACCTGCCTACCTACCTACCTACCTACCTAGGGAGGCCGGGTGCGCTGGACGACGGCAGATGACAAGGCGGCGGATCTGGTAGTGCTGGTGGTGGCCATGCTGGGAAATGGGAAGATTTGGGCGATGGCGTGAAGCTTTTGGCGGCTTCCAGGCTAGGTCTGCCTTACGGCTAATTTACTGCCCGCGGCTTACGGCGCACAATCACCTGCCCTCTCTTAACAAAGGTACAGAACGATCCGTCTTGCGTTATTTCCCTTAGCAATCCAAACACGACGAATCTCTCGAGGTTTCGATCTGTGCCCAAGTCCGCGTCACACTTTGTCACCCCAGCCTGTGCCCTGGCGTCCAGTGCTGTCCTTCGCGACCCCCCGTCTAAAGCTTGAACAACGTCATGCTCATCGCACACAAAACTCCACACCTGTCCCGCCGCTAAGCGCGCCACTCAGCCACTCAAGCTCTGGCCCTCTCTCTTAATTGCCCCAAAGACCCCATACTCCGTCCCCAGATCACGGTAAACCCCTGAACTGCCGATTGCTCTCACACATTAGCATCGCGATAGCTTTGCCAGCTGGAACAAAACAATATCGAAACAGCCAACAGACGACGTCCCGCAGCACCGCAGCCATGAAGTTCTTTGCCCTCCTCGTCCCCGCCCTGACGGTCCTCGCCTCGCCGGCCCCCATCGAGAACCAGAAGCAGGTCATCGTGTCGTACCCCAACGAGACCCCCAACTCGGTCATCGACCAGGCCAAGGACGCCATCCGCGCAGGCGGCGGCATCATCACCCACGAGTTTGAGCTCATCAAGTATGCAAATCTCCGGGCGCATCCGCGCATCCTCGTATTCCGAGAGGCCGCTCGGCCCCGTGGAGGTGGAGCAGGTGGCTGACAAGGCTTCGTCCATCCAGGGGCTTCGCCGCGACGGTCGCAGAATCCGTCCTCAACTCGGTCAAATCCATGAACGACGAATACCACGCCACGATCGAGGAGGACCAGGTGATTTCCATCTCGTCGTAGGTGAGGGCCTCGGATGATGGATGCGCGCCCGCAAGCCGCGACCCGCCAAGACGTGCTGCGAGGGCCCACATCCTTTTGAAGGGAAAACAGAACACGCCGATATGAAAGCGAGCGATGGAAACAGGTCCCAGTGGCCGCAGGCAGGCGACTGACCGGACGCGCATCACGGTGGATGACTTTGCCCGACTTGCTTGTCGAGACTTGCCTCGAGTTATTTGTACCTGCATGGGGGCGTTGGTGGTTTTTGACTGACAGCCCCCGGGAACCCGGACCGAGTGGTGTCTTTGGCCTGGCCAAAGAACCCTCCTTCTGGATCCCAGGGCTTTTATGTGCCTGGTGTTTAATTACGAGATATCCGCGCTTCCCTTCCTCAAGATACCAAACTATCACTAGTAGCTCACCTAGCTAGACACGAGCAACAATTCAGCTTTACCTGAGACGCGGCTTGCGAGGGTCAAGAGGTCAAGACATGTGCTAGCTTGGCGTTGCGCTCTGGAATAGCCAAACTACGCTTGTTCGGCGGTTCCTCTCATTGGCCCTCGTCCCCGCATGCCTCGGTGGGCTCTCTGAGCTCGCAGATCTTGATCTCGATGTTAAGCGCAGTAAACGCGGTCTAGCCAGTGCGCCGAATGCCACGCCTACGACATGGGGTAGCGGCATCAAAATGGTTGCGCCGAGAAAGCGAGAGCTCCGTCCTGCTAATCTCCCCGAATCGTTTTTGGTGTCCTGTTGGTTGCTGAGAGGGCGGGAAACACGGTTGGAATTCGACCCCCGACACCTCGATGAAACATTGCCAGCCTGCATCATCAATGCTGGGGGGTTCCTGAAGAGCCTAGAGTGCCCAGACACACCGACCCGAGCGATCAGTGTACCGGCTTGCTTTTTCCTGTCGGTGCTAGGTGGGTGACACGGCCGTCAACAATTGATTAGTCCAGGAACCCGACGGCGATTGGTTCGGGTGACGGGCATGGGCGCGGGTGGAGTACACACCAACATTGCACCGCGTCCGAGCCTGCTCCAGAACCGCAAACTTGGCCATGCAAGCACTTTGTTCATATCATCACAACGGAAACAGACCTGCACAAGTGTGAATCCCATGCACCATGTGAAAGCCCGATGTCGAATCGCTCGCGGAACCGGGTGGCATCAGTCTCGTTTTGGCGAGAGTGAATTGGCGGTGCGGTCAACTGCACCGAGTCATCCCGCGTGGATTCGCGGGCCCCCCAAAGGACCCCTGCCAAATGGCAGCACAGCACGTTCACGACTCCGCCCGGACTAGCGCTTGGCCACAGCGCTGGACCCTCCCTTCATGGCTTATTGGGCCAGAGCTTCATGGTCCCTTGGTAGGTGGTTGAATCAACGGCCAGACAAAAGGCCCAATGCCGATTTTCTTTCGCTACCAGTTTGTCTTCCATTCCCGCCTGTGATTGTGCTCGTCCGAGAACAATGAGCTCGCGCAGCCGCGAACAATACAGCCTTTGGTTGACGGGTCTTTGCTTCCATTCTGTATCCTCCTTTGTTTCTCCACGGTCGCCTCGGCCGCTCGCCTCGAGCGCCTGAAATACCCCTCGCTTGGCCCCATTTTCGCATGGAATCCCACCCACCTGATCACCAAGATCCATCCATACATACATTCTTTCCGCCCAACCAACCAACCATAGGCTGGAAACACCACATCCCGCATTTTGACCGCCACTCTCCAGCGAGGCAACCTGACTTCTTCCCCCACCACTGAGTGCACACAACGCGTCTCGCCAGTCGATGCGGAAACGACCGCAGCAGCCGCCATCATGAAGTCGGCCGTGAGCTCCCCGAGCGCGCAGGCCGCGTTCGTCAACTGGCTGAACCTCTTCCCCCTCGACTCAAAGGTGACCAGCGTCGACGAGCTCAGCGATGGCCTGGTCCTGGCCAAGATCCTGGAGGACATGGATGGCAGCTTCACGGCCGACGAGCTCAACCAAAACGCCTCTACATGGCTGGAGAAGAAGGCCAACCTCGAGATCGTCTTCCGGAACCTAGACAAGTACACATGCCAAGACCCCGACTCGGACCTCGACTGGCTGTCCCGCTCCTACAAACCCAAGGAGATCGCACACTCGCCCGACACCGACGCCCTCTGCGAGGCCCTGGCCGTCTTCGTCTGCGTCGCCATGGCCGGCCCGAACCGCCAGCGCTACATCGGCGCCATCCAGGCCAAGCTGGGGCCCAAGTACCAGAGCGAGCTGGCCACCGTCTTCCGCGTCAAGCAGAACCAGCTGGAACGCCTGAACGCCGAGGAGCAGCAGGCCTCCAAGTCGCGCGACCGCGAGCTTGAGCTGGAGGAGGAGGCTGCCAGGCTTCGTGCCGAAGTCGAAGCCGTCAAGAACCGGTATGCCGACGTGCTCACACGCCTGGAGCGGCTGAATCTGTCCTACGGAGACCTCAAGGAGGACAACGATAAGCTCCGTTCCGAGATCGAGGAGTCACGCAAACACACCAGCGGCAACACCGAAGGTATCATCGCCAAGCTGGAGGAGAGGCTGCGCGAGAGCGAGGAGATCATCTCGCGGCAGGAGTCGCAGATCGAGGAGGAAAACCTGGCCAAGATGCGCCTCAACAGCGAACTCGCTCAGCTGAGGAAACAGACAGAGAACTTGACGGTGCTGCAGGACCAGGTCCACGAGCTGAAGCAGACGAACCAGGAGCTCTCCAAAAAGGCCAATGCCGCGGAGCGCTACAAGCAGAAGCTCGAGAGCCAGCACGGCATCGAGAACGAGCTGAAGAACCTCCAGTACGAGCTGGACGAGGCCCGCAAGGACCAAGGAGGCTACCAGACGCTCAAGGCACAGGTGGAGGCCCAGTCGACCTCGATCGGCGCCTACCGCCGCATGCAGGAGGAGACGGAACTTCACCTGAACGAGCTTAGGACGCAGAAAAACCAGTTCGCCGAGCTCCTTGCCAGCAAAACGCAAGAGCTCGACCGCGTGACGGCCCAAAGTGCCCTCTACGAGCGCATGATCGAGGAGCAGCGCGAGCAGATCACGTCCAACGGCGTCGTGCGCCGGTCGCGGTCGCCCAGCCCGGAGCCGACGTCGGCCAAGGCTCGCGACGATTCGGCCATGGTCAGCATGAAGCTCGAGGTCTCCAAGCTCAAGGCCGAGAACGCCATGCTGCTCAATGGTAGGGGCTTCACCGCCACCAACGACCAGCTCCGGTCCGACTTGGAGCACTCGAAGCGCAACGCGACAGAGCTCACCCAGATGCTCCACGAGCTGCGCGCGCAGCACGTCGCCTCGACACATACGCTCGAGGGCTTGATGAACAACATGACGTCAGAAGAGTTAGTTGGCATCATCGCACGCATGGACAAAACAGAGACTAACAAAGCTTTCGCCATCGCGTCGTCCGACTTCCACAGCACCGAGGCGTACAGGGAGCTTTACCGGTCACAGATGCAGGCACAGAAAGAGCTCGAGGAGGAGAAGCGCCGGTCTCGCAAGATGGAAGCCGAGCTCCGGGACGCCAATCGCGAACTCCTGCAACTGCGGACCGACTGTAAGATGCTTTATGATAAATTGGCTTCGGCGCGCGGCCCTGGTGCTGACTCTGCGGTTCCAGACAAGGTGGTCACCAACGATTCCATCGACGCCGTGCAGGAGCTCAAGAAGACCCACGAGCTCGTCTCGCAGTCGCTCCAAGGCGACCTCGAGAGCCTCCGCAAGGACTACGAGCGCCTCGAGGTCGAAGTCAAGGAGCGGAGACAGCAGGTGATGGACAATCTTCTCAAGTCGGAGGGGCTCCGCGAGCAGAACGAAAAGCTGCGCGAAAGGGCCAGCCGCATCGTCGATGCTGCCGCCCAAGAAGAGGCCAACGCCAGCAACCCCGCCGCGAACCAGAAGCTCGACGACACAAACAAGAAGTACGAGAGGCTCAAGGCCGCGTCGCAGAGCTTGAAGGAGGTGAGTGACTGCTGTGCTGCCTGTAGGACCAAACTGGTTCCCGGAAACTACTGTCATGGCTGTGGTGCCAAACGGGCCCATGGACTCTCTTCCTCCTCCTCATTCTCGAGCTGGAGCCTCTGTTCCAGCCGTGATAGCTTGGACAGGCCTGACTGGGTGATTCTTGAGAATCCCCCAATGCCGCCGCCCCCAGTGGGGCAGAAGCCGGGCTCTTGCCGTCCCTCTTCATTCCAGTTCGCGCCGAGTCCGACGCCTGGGGTCAAGAAGGCCCACGCCATTTCCAAGCCTGGTTCCAAGGTGCCCTGGTCGTCCCTGTGGTCGTCTCGCAAGGCGAAGTCGCGCATCTTTGGCTAACGGGGGATGATTGCACGGCGCAGCAACTGCAAAAGGCAGACCAGGAACGATACGACCTGCAGCGGCGGCTCCGGACGATGGAGCAGGGTGGTGCTTATGCTGCACTCAAGGTGCGTTCCACATTACTGCCGTTTTCTGCACGCTTCATGAACGACTCCGAAAGTGATTGCCCCTCATTTTCTTGTCCCTCGTCATCTCCCATGCGCCGCCCCCGTGCCATGTCCTGCAACGTGCCACTGACCGCGAACCAACCCGACCCTTGGTCGCTGCCCGCGCGTACCAACGACTCCAGGCCGCGAACGACCAGACTATAAAGAATTTGCAACGCGAGAACGCAATGATATCAACGGCCTGGTACGACCTTACCAGCCGCTTGCAAAGCAACCACGTCGTTCTTCAACGTCGTCAGGACACTCCGAAGACATGGATCGGCAAATCGAGGCAAATGGTCAACAACGGTGCGTTTTTTTTGTTTGTTTTTTTTGCTTTCTCCTCATCCCGGTCTGTTGTTGTCCACCAGCCGCACGGTCCCATGCTAAACGAACTCTTGTCTCTTGTTTGTTGGCGACTGCAGCAACCCCAAGAAGGTAGGAGCTTCAAGGCTTGTAGGTTTGCTTGAACTCTCTGCTGCAGCCCTCCTTCGGCCACGTGGTTACGCTACTGCTCAGATCCCTCGCTTCCCGGCTCCTCGACCTCCAAGTCGGGATCGCAACCCGTTATGACTTGGACGGCGACCGCTTCGTCCCACTCTTTATCATCGTCTAGCCCACCGCCACCGGGCCACGACGGAGAAATACCAAACAGCAGCAGCAGCACCCAGCCCAGTTTTCGTTTTTATTCTATACACATTTCTTATCATCTCTCTCGGCTTTCTTTTGTGGTTCTTTTCCTGGATACCCCCCGTATATGTCGGGACCCTGGCGCCATCGTCGCTCCTGGCCATATCTATATTCGTGCTATTTCTTTCCCTTCACCTGTTCGCCTCGGCGGGCGGTCTATTGTACGTCTGTGCCGTCACGCACGTCTTTTTCCTCTTGCTTCCGGGCCTCATCAGCATCTCGCGCGATTTCCTCTCTTGGCTGTCCATCATCATCTTTCAGAGCCAGCTCTTTGTGATCGAGGATCGGTTTTCTCGTTTGGCATCATCGTCTCCTTTGTCATCGTCTTTATCATCATCACCATCATCGCCACGGCGACGAGGGCGAGGAGGGCCCTCGGGCCTCGCCCTGGCGATGCTGTGGCAGCCGGGGGTCCTGGTGTTTTTGCTTTCTGTCGCGTACAGTCTCGGGGTCATGCTGCTATCTGCTTTCTTTTTGGTTTTCTCGTCGTGGACTACATAAGGGCGGCTATAAGGGGGCTCTGCGCGGAGTAGGGGACAGGTTGGTCGTCTGAATTATCATGACGGGTCGTTTGGATACAACGACAAGGTTGGGTGAGGTTTTTTTTTCTCAAACTTATATATTCGGCAACAATCAAATTCTTCTTTCGTTGTTCCGACAACTCGCTGCTTGCAAAGACAAGACGATGTATCGAGTGCCAGGATCTGCACCGCATCGACCATGCTGTTTGGAAAGACCAAACGGGGCTGTGCGCGCATGTTGGTGCACCCGGTGCACTCATAAAGTGCACCACGAGGAAGCATCATGTCGAAAGGGGATGCGACGTCACGCAACCTTGTGCGCAGCCACATGATGAGCATTCGGCGCTGACGGCCTAGACTAGGCGGCTGAGCATCATCACACATTCTAGGCAGCGCACGGGTGACCCGGTCGTCTTGGGCAAAACCTCAAATCTGTTGTGGGCAAATAACTAGCAAATCTAAGGAAAACCAAACAGAGGGCTGTTCTTGGGCAGCGGCAACGCCATGATTTGATGCGCCAAAAACAGCCCCCGGATGCTCCGGATCGGCCTTGGCCCACCGCTCGGCCGTGCCCCTGGAGCGAGCAGGGGTGAAGGGGTCGACAAGATGCCGGTAAACGGTGGGCCGTGCTGTTGCTCCGTCAATACACCACCGATCTCGCCAACCTCCGACCGGAAAAAGAGTGGTTGCCTAAAAGGCTATCCTTCCATAACTCTCCACAAGCTCAAAGTCTGTATCGACTGGGAAAAAAAAAGGAGCACTCTTAACGCCAAGATAAATAAGAAAGCAATAAGTCAAAAGTGACGGGCATCAAGCCAAGTGACGTACGACCCCTCCAAGGCGGGCCAAGACCAGGCTTCGGCTAGGCAAAGCAAGAGAAAGCAGTGGAGTAGCGGCTATCCCACTCAAACGGCCTCCTCGAAGATGTCGCCGAACGTGTTCTCGCCAGAGTAGGTGATGTACAGGAACCTAATTTTGATTGCGGACGTGTTAGTCTCGGGCTCGGGCAGCAACGAGGAAGAGCAGCAGAGAACAAGACAAAAAAAAACGTACCCGTCCTCATCCTTGTGTAGCTCGTAGATGCTAGACATGAGCGCCGCCGTGGGTGGGAGGGTGTCCTGAACGAAGATGAAGATGGCCTTCTCGGGCGAGAGCTTGATCCGCTTCCTGATCACGTAGACAAACTGGCCTACGGTCAAGTCCGCCGGGACAAGATATTTCTTCTTGTCGATGGTGGCGATATCACTCTTCTCGACCTTCTCGCAAATAACCTATTGTTGATGAAGCAGCGGGTTAGCAAGACGGCTCCGTTAGTTGGTAGATGAGAAGAAGCTGTATCGGCGCCGCTTCAAACTCGACCGCTCCGTCGGCGGGCGGACAAGCCCGAGACGAAAGCGGACGCGATAGAGCGGCGGCCCGAAAGGACTCGCGGGGATGAGAAAGGGATCATTTTGGGGGATGGTTGCTCACCGGAATGCGGTCGGCGTATTTCTGGCGGATGCGCTCCGCCTCGGCCTTGCGCTTCTCGAAGGGGTGCTCGTCCTTGAACTTGGATCGCATCTTGGCGGTGTCGGTCGGGCGGCGGCGGTGATGAAGGTGACTAGGTTTGGTTTGTGTCTGGCAGCTGGGAGGATGGTAGAGATAGGTTGAGGATGTGGGTTGGGTTGGCGGGCTGTTGTGATGGGGGTTTTGTGCAGGTTCCAGGCTCCAGGCGGTGGCTGGTGGCTGTAGGCTTGGTTGGTTGACGTAGGCAGGTTGCTGGATGATTTAAGGCAGTCCCCAGGCTAACAGGAGGTTGCGTGGAGCGGGGGAGTCACCCGCCGCTTGAGTCCTCCACCGAAGTGGGTCCTTCCCTGTCGCCTCTTTCAGCCTACAGTAGGTAGGTACGCACGCCCTCGCGCTCTTACTATGCCAAACGGGCTGGGTGGTACCTGACCTTTCCAGCGATCCATGGTCGGTTTATTCAGTGCCAGGGTCGTTGCGTCGTACCTGCGCCTGCGCCCATCCCCTGTGTGCCCGTTTGCAATCTGAATGGCCTTTTCTGGCTCCCCCTCGGTGCCGAATCAGTGGTGGCCACATGAATTGCCCAGCAGGTCTGGTTAGCCAGCCAGTCAGGTGGCACAGCCTTTGAGGCCGCTTCTGGCCGGATCAGCCTGAGAGCTGATGAATCACAACTGTTTCACGTGGCACAGCTGACAGGTTCTAGCAAAGGGTGGAAACCCGACAAACAAAGGGTTTGCTGCTTTCATTTCAGAGGAGTTTATTGGATTCTTCCGCTACCTCTCATGATCCATGGAAGCAAACCACCACACAAAAAACGGCAGTCTTACAGCCCGTCCCCAAGATTTGAATCGAATTTTTAGTGCCGTAAGATCTCCTATTCTTGTTTTTCTTCCCATTGTGATTCCCGTTATTCCTGTTTTTATTCTTGTTTTTTTCTTATTCTTGATGTTGTTCCTGTCTTCGTACCCATTTCTATTCCTATTCCTAAAAGGAGCTGCCATCTTTTTTGTCGTGAGCGTGACTACCAAGCCTGGATGGACGCTGCACCGACGATGGTCCCGAGTCGGAGACTTATGAAATGCACAACCACACTCCTAGCCTCTCAACCGACCGACCCGGGCCGTGGAGAAAGACCGAAAGTCAAAAGCAGAGGCCGATAAAGCTGGCGGTCTGCTGGAGAGAGAGAGAGCCCCGCCCACTGCCGTACGTGGATGTAGCATCACATCATGGGGAAGTGGACCTCACCTGAGTTAGGAGTCGAGCGCGGAGCTGGTCTGAGCTTCCCAGGCGTCAGAACGTCGGTGACGGCACAAATCGCCTGACAAAAAAAACCCCAGCAGGCGACAGAGGACCCCACCCCCATAAGCCCACAAGCTCCAGCGCAGCCAGTGGGCGCCAGCGGTTGATTCCGATGCGGCCCTGCAGCCAGAGTGGTCTCATAACCCGTGTCGCCCACCGTCACGCCATCTTTCCGCTTCCGTCGCCTGCCCCCCCTCTCGGTGTTGGTGGCCGGTTTCTGTCCGGCGCCGCTTGTACTAGTATTAGAGAAAAACACATAAAAAGCCGTGCCGAGTATGTCCTCTTCCTCGAGGCTGGCGAGACTGCTTGGTCAGTCGAAGCCACGCCCGCGCTTGAACAGCACCTCTTTTCGTGTCCATCCTTCGTCTTGCTCCCCCTTTTTCTCCCCCTCGTTTCTGTGCCGGAACACGGCCGCCGGGACAGCTCGGTCCGTCTCCACAAAAGCGCCCGGGCTCGCGTCATCGGCGTCGGGTGCTGGTCGGGACCGGTTGCAGTTGGTCTGGGCCACTGTTGGTGTTGCCGCTGCGTGTGCAGGAACATATTATTACAAAATGGTGAGACCGAGACGAGACATGCTGCTGCGCCTGCCGGCTGGCTACCCATCTACACGGCTCCGAGACTGACGGCGAATCACACCACCACCCCCCAGGCCGTCGACGAGCCGCTGAGGCTCGACCCGGCCACGCTGGCGGAGCGTGATGCCCTGGCCGTGCGGGAGTCGGGCGTGACCAAGCAGTCGCCCATGCGGCTGCGCATGGAGGAGTTCATCAAGGAACAGCAGCGCCTGATCGTGCAGGGGCTCGAGGAGGTGGACGGCACCAAGTTCCGGGTCGACGAGTGGCAGCGCAAGGAGGGCGGCGGCGGCATCACGTGCGTGCTGCAGGACGGCAAGGTCTTTGAGAAGGCCGGCGTCGGCGTGAGCGTCGTCTACGGCTCGCTGCCCAAGCCGGCCATCGAGAAGATGCGGGCCAACCACAAGAACATCGCGGGCGGCAGCGACGTGATCCCCGACAAGCTCGACTTCTTCGCCGCCGGCCTGAGCCTCGTCATCCACCCCAGCAACCCCATGGCGCCCACGGTGCACCTCAACTACCGCTACTTCGAGACGGCGCACCCGGACGGCAGCTCGGGCGCCTGGTGGTTCGGCGGCGGCGCCGACCTGACGCCGGCGTACCTGTTCGACGAGGACGCGGTGCACTTCCACCGCACCCTCAAGGACGTGTGCGACAAGCACGACAAGACGTACTACCCGCGCTTCAAGAAGTGGTGCGACGAGTACTTCTTCAACAAGCACCGCGGCGAGTCCCGCGGCGTCGGCGGCATCTTCTTCGACGACCTGGACGAGTCCGTCTCGGACCGCGAGAACACCTTTGCCTTCATCCAGGACGGCCTGCGCGCCTTCCTGCCGTCGTACGTGCCCGTCGTCGAGCGCCGCAAGGACATGCCCTTCACGCCCGAGGAGAAGGAGTGGCAGCAGCTGCGCCGCGGCAAGTACGTCGAGTTCAACCTGGTGCACGACCGCGGCACCGCCTTTGGTCTCAACAGCCCCGGCGCCCGCGTCGAGAGCATCCTCATGAGCCTGCCCCGCACCGCCAGCTGGGCCTACATGCACGAGCCCGCGCCTAAGAGCCGCGAGGCGAGGCTGACGGAGATTCTGAGGAATCCCAAGGAGTGGGTTTGAGCTGGGCGAGGGGGCGAGTTCAATCGGCCATGTGTAGAGGCAGACGACGCCATCTGGAAAAGGATGGATTCCTGTCTTGTTCACGCAGTGTGCTGTATCAAAGAGGGCCATAGTATATAGTCCAGCATTTATAATAAATGAGCAAGTTGATCAAGTGGTGTTTTGCGTTTATTGAAAGGCCGGCTATCTGTGATGATCAACTGCGTTCAACCAAGATATTTAAACTCAACTTGCTACTTCTCTAACAAACCCACATCCCCCCTCTATCACGACAACTACATCCAATCAACATACCCAAGAGACAGTTGTCATTCCCGTCCAATTCATGCGTTCATGATACAGGCATGGAGCCCACACTTCCGCCGCCGCTGCCCACGCCGCGGCAAATGCTCACGTCCCTCATAAACTCCCTCTCGTCCATCCCGCCGCCCGAACCCGCGGACCAACACTCCCCCTCATCGTCCTCATCCTCCTCCGCCGCCGAGGACGACAGTGCGCACGAAGCCGCTAACCCCGCCCTGCTTCGCCGCCCCCGCCAAAAAACAGCCGCGGGCGGTGGCGGCGACCTTCTCCTCGGCAGCGCGGGCGTCGCCTACCGGCCGCTCCTGACGACTCTGCACGCCCTGTTCCCCACCATCCTCCTCGCGGCCCTGGACCTGCTCGACCGCGGCCTGGTGTCGCGGCTCGAGATGGAGACCACCGACGACGCTACTGACGCCGCCGCTGGCAAGAACGTGGCGTACCACGTCCGCTCCGCCGCCACGGCCCGCCGCCGCCGCAACAACAACAACAACAACAACAACAAGTCATCGTCGTCGTCGTCCAAGGCCAACGTCCCGGACCCGGCGTACGCGGTGCGCCTTGGCGCCTGGAGCTGCTCGTGCGCCGCCTTTGCCTTCTCTGCCTTTTCCGGGGACGGCGGCGGACGGGATCCTCGGGACTCGGGCTCGGGCGCGGGCGCGGGCGCTGGCGCGGGCGGCGGCGGGCTGGAGGACGGTGGTGGCGGCTGGGAGTTTGGGGGGCTTAGTATTGACGGGCGGGAGCAGCAGCTCGGCCACGGGAGCGGCGGCGACGACGACGACGGCGGCGGCGGCCTGGTCGAGGTCCGGGGAGTGCCGTGCTGCAAGCACCTGCTGGCCTGCCTGCTCGCCGACAGATGGCCAGTCGCGGGACGCTGTGTGGCGGCGAGGTGCGTGTCGAGGGAGGAGCTGGCTGGCATCATGGCGGGAATCTGAGCTATAGAAGTGCCATTCACGAGGTCGGTAGGCACCAAGCACATGCCTGGGCGTTATTTTTCAAAGCACACTATCCTGCAGCCGTGCATCTCTTCGCCAAAGCGGCGAGTAGGTAATGGGGTATTGCTGCTCGCTCCAGCTCCTTTACCACTCTCGGCTACGAGGTTCACTATCTCATAATACGCCGGAGCTTGGTTCGTCATGTGTTGAAGGTCATCTATCGTGGCACGCACCGTTGTTCGACCTCCCACTACGGCGCATTAATATCGCCTCATTCCTGCTTCCCCAAGCCGTGCCACCGGCTCAGCGCTTTAGTTTTCATCTCCCCCGCCTTCCTGATTTACTTCTTCTCTTTCGACTGGTCCTTGTCCTTGTCCCCACCATCCTTGTCACCATTGACGCCGTTCGAGGACTTGTCGGTGCCGTCCTTCTTGTCCCCGTCCTTACCGGGGGAGGACTCACCGTCCTTCTCCTCCTGCTGCTGGCGGTTCTGGATCTTGTTCTCGATCAGGTCGTGGAAAGCGGTGATAGCGCGGATCAGACTGCTCAGGTAGATGGCCATGAGCTGGTCGTTGGTCTTGACGCTCATGGCGTACGGCAGGCCGCCGTCGGCCTTAGTGCCGGTGGCGCCCGACTTGCCCGACGGTGTCGAGAGGTTGGGTAGCAGGTTGAAGACGTCCTGCAGGTTGCCTAGGATGGCGTGGTTGACGGGTAACTGGCCATCCAGCACTTTTTGCAGGTACGCCTGGATGTCCCTAAGCCTCAGGTGCAGGCCCTGCAGCGACTGGATCTGGTTCGTAACCCGTGTAGACAAGGTTCCCACAGCCACGTCCCGGATGTCGCGCAGCAAGTGCTCCACGCCGATCTCCTCTGCCTCCTCCGCTTCGATAACTGACGGGGTGTGGACAAAAGTCCTCGAGGTAGTCGTGCCGTCCTATCACGATAGCATATTGTCAGCCTAGATCCCCAGACTGCAAGCGAGGGGCAGCAAACGAGGCAACGCACATCCTTGATCTCGTCAACGGCAAAGTAGGCGTCGGTCGGCACACCAGCCTCCTTGGGCTGGACATCAATAATGACCAGCAGCGGGTTTGGTGTGTAGCGCTTCAGGAGCTCGTTGATCTCCAGGTCCGAGGCGCGCAGCTTGGGGCCAGAGTGGTACCAGCCTATTAGCTTCTCGCGGGCGTTGACCTTCTTGAACATGCCGTTCATGGACTCGATGTAGTTGTGGTCCAGGAACCAGACAGACGGGTTCTTCTCGTCCTCCTCGAAGGGGACTGCCGGCGGAGAGGGGTCAGCGGAAGGGCATCGACGCAAGCGCAGGCGGGCAGGGCGCATGGCAGCCTACCTGCGAAGCTGTTTGATACCCGGACATCTTTGCCGTCGTTCTGGCCTAATAGCACGCCGACCACGCGCTTGTTCTTGGTCTTATGGGTGGCCTCGCGGTTGTAGTGGTCGACGACGGACAGCAGGACCAGCGGAGCCACCGAGACGTTCCGCGTCACCAGTGATAGTGTCTCGGCCGTCGTCGTGGGCATTGTGGGCGGCGGGGGCCGGTGTGGTGGGCGGTGCCTGGTCGGCTGGCAGGTGGGCGGCCCAGCTACGATATGCTGCGTCTCGGTCGGTTCTAGGTCGTCGAGGTTGGCTGAGCGGCGTCGTCGTCGGGTTGGTAGGAGAAAGTTGAATCGAAGCTCTGCGCTGTGTTCCCTTGACAATTGGAAGCTCCAGGCAGGTACGCGGGTCGTCACCACTGGCTGTCCCACAGTGGGGCTGTCGTGCTAGAGTATTCCTAGTCTGTATGACACGTGACCAGGCAAGGCAAGGGCGGCAAGGACGGCAAGACGGAGAAAAAAAAAAGGTTCCTGTCTAAGTAGAGAATGTAGGTACCATAAAAGTGAGTGTAAAGTAGGCTGGGTACGTCAAAGTCAAAGAGTTCAAAAATCGAGATATTGTTAAAGTATTAGCGCATTTTCGCCACCATCAGCGGCGCATTTGGTGGCAGAGATCTAGTATGCCAGCTTACGTGCCTACCTGCCTCTAGTAAGGTATGCTAGGGTAGATGGACACGGCTTCGGGAATCTGCAGGGTTCGATATCCAGCCAACATGGCTTTTGCGTAAAATCCGATCTTTTGGTGCTTGTATCCAGCCCAATCACCTCTGTAATGCCGACCACGCCCAGCAAGACATACATGCTACATACATGCTGATCATGTTCCGGTCCTCCGGATCATGTTCCTGGCTGACGCCCTGTCAAGCCTGGTGCAATGGGCTGGGTATGCATCGGCAGCGTGGCACAGCAAAGGGAATGCACATGCTTGGGCGGCCCACTCCCCTCTCCCCTTCCTCGGCGCCTTGGTCGGGAGAGAGGAAAAGACGGCTAACCGTATTGCCGCGTGCCCAGGCGGGCGACTAAACGGTCAACTGATGCGCTGGATGGCCGGCTAGTTGGAATACCCAAAAATGTGCAATGGGTGCATTGGGTGATACTATTTTTTTTCTCATATTTTCCCTATATGAATACAAAATAAATAGCCCAAGATTCCGTGCAGAAGATATCTTCGAGGAGAGAGATGAAGAAAAAGCAGAATATAAAACCCGTCTTCAAAAGCGCCTGGAAATCGGCTCGAGGAGAGCAGAATCGACTTGCAGGGGTTTCGGACTAGCCTTCTCGGAACCAGATTTTTGGCCGCTCAACGTGAACCGTGCGCAACGGTCACGTACGTACCCCTGCCAGAGTCCAGGTGGTAGAGCTTCCACCACATCGCTTCTGATATCCAACACCTCCATCCAACTTTTTGCTGCCTGTGAATAAGCCGTTCAAACTGTTCAAACTACCACCGCAAACCGCCTCGCACTCCTCTCCGCCCAGCTCCTCCCACCATCCCCTCCTCCGCCCGTCCTCTCCTCCCATCGTCTCAATTGGCGCGCGCAAATCCCCAACAACCATGGGAGCTATCGAAGACCAGATCAAGCGCCTCGGCAGCGTCATCGAGGTCCTCGATGCCCGCGTCAAGAAGCTCGAGCAGTCGGCAGGCCTCTCGGCCGGCTCCCCCACCGCCCAGGAGCTGCGCATGATCCTCATCGGTCCCCCCGGCGCTGGTAAGTTTTTAGCCCCCGTTGTGATTTGCGCGCTCCGAGCTCGGCCCCCGGCGCTCGAGTTGCGCCAGAGCCTCGGCACTAACCAAGCCCCCTTCCCGGCGCAAAGGCAAGGGCACCCAGGCCCCCAAGATCAAGGAGAAGTTCAACTGCTGTCATCTGGTATGTCAATTGGCCCTGCCTGGGTCTGGTGCGCGATGCTGACACACCTCCCACAGGCCACCGGTGACATGTTGAGGTCCCAAGTCGCCAAGAAGACTCCCCTGGGCCGGGAAGCTAAGAAGATCATGGACCTGGGCGGGCTCGTCAGCGACGATATCGTTATCGGGATGATCAAGGAGGAGCTGGATAACAACAAGGAGTGCAAAGGAGGGTAAGTACAGCGACTGGGTCGTGAGACGACGCACACAAAAAAAAAAAGGCGCAATCCCCGCTGATCGTCCCGACCAGCTTCATCCTCGACGGCTTCCCCCGCACGGTGCCGCAGGCCGAGGGGCTCGACAAGATGTTGCGCGCGCGGGAGCAGACGCTACAGCACGTGGTCGAGCTCAAGATCGACGACGCGCTGCTGGTCGCCCGCATCACGGGCCGCCTCGTCCACACCGCCTCGGGCCGCTCCTACCACACCACCTTCAACCCGCCCAAGAAGCACATGACAGATGACGTGACGGGCGAGCCGCTGATCCAGCGCTCCGACGACAACGCCGAGGCTCTCAAGAAGCGCCTGGTCTCGTACCACACCCAGACGGGCCCCGTCGTTGACTACTACCGCAAGACGGGCATATGGAAGGCCATCGACGCCAGCCAGCAGCCCGGCACCGTCTGGAAGTCCCTGCTCAATATCTTCGACGGCGACGCTGCAAAGGCCTCCAAGGCCGGCGGCGGCATCCTCGACAAGCTCGCAGCCAACACCACAGCCGCCAAGCGCTAGGGCGCGCCATGAGCGTGGAGATGGCGCGGTTGCCGACAGCCCACAGCCGACGACCTGCCAAGGCGGCTGCATTGGTGGTGCGTGCGTTACTGTTCGGAACGCCCCAGGACGACGACTGCTCTTGCGGCTTTGCTTGTGGGGGGGCGCCCGGGAAGGCGTCGTTCCAGGTACCGAAAGAAGGAAGACGAAAATACAAATGCATTCGGCGGGGAAGGTCGGCACCAGTCGGTTATGCGCTATCAATACTAATTTATGGCTTTCGGCGGTGTTCAGGGGTTGGCTTTCTCTTTTCTCGTTTTGCGCTCGGGCGTGCAAAAAAGATTCCCCCCCCTGACTGGCGTCTGTCTTCCTTCCTTTTCTCCCCCTCTCCCTCCACTATAAACGTGCTTGACAACTAAACCACGCATTGTATTGTATCTTTTTTTTGTTTCCTCTCGATTTGGGTTTCCATGTCTTCCCATTTCCTGTTCTGAAATGGACCGGGACGACTCTGATGGCGGGCATGCTGGGATGACAGGGACAAAAAGACAAGAAACAGGTAGGTAGACCGTTGATGTAACGGTTGGGCTCGCTGGCCTTGTGGCACACTGGGAGGTGACTACATTAAGCGCCACGTATGTAGTAGACCTTTAATTCTCAATATTGGGATGTGGTCTAGGTGCCCATGCCATCTCACCACCAGTGCTCCCTATACTCCACATGAGGCCGAGAGGTAGCTTTTGTCACTTCGTTCCAGCTCTCAATATAGAATTTCACACACAAGGTTGGCATTGTATGAATCAACAGGAAAAGGACCAACAATAGGGCCAAAAGAGCTGACACGAACGACGAGCTTGGTAGTAAGTGTTGTAATAAGTGCTATCGGTGCCCAACGTTGCATGCTTTCTTCAACCCATTACACCGGAATCCACCCCGCTTGGACTAACGAAGAAAGACGGTTAAACAAGACAAGGCTGCCGACCAGAAGACCAATGAACAGATGAGGTTAAGAATAAGATGGGACGGCAGGAAAAAAGAAGAAACCAAAGCTAAAACAGATACAACCAAGAAAAAAAAAGGAGGGAGAGAATGATCGCGTCCTATGTAAGCCAACTTTTGAAAATGTCATATGAACATACAGAGTTCCAACCCGAAACCACACGACGCCAACGTGTCACATAAATAAAATGGTATAAACAAGTGACCAGTACAGACGCATGCCATGTCCATGGGCGAGGAGGGTATTGAACATGGGCGTAAAACGTGGAGAGAGAACACACGGGCTCAGAAGACCCAGACAGGGAGCTGTGGGCTTGAGCCTTAGGACGCAGGGTTGCTCTTCAACCTCTTCTGCATCCTCGGTGTCGGTGGCTTCGTCTTGCCTGGCGGCACGCCGTTCATCTGCGGGCCACCACCTGGGGTCGGGGCCGACGCGGGGGTGGGGCCGTCGTCTTCGGCCTTGACCCCCGACGGCCGCCTCCTTTTAGTCCCGGCCGGGGACGTGTTGGTCGAGGGCCCGCTAGAGCTGGTTCCCTGCTGGCTCTGCTGCATCTGCATCTGCGGGGCCATGGCGCCTCCCGGCACGGGGCTGCCAATGTGTGGCGACTGGGGTAGCTGCAGATGGGCCGCGTGCGGGCTGGCCCCCATGGGGAACTGGCTGAAGCTGGGGGTCCGCGGCCCTGGTTGCGGCACTTGCGGTGCGTTCATAGCCTGTGCTCCCGCGCCATTGACCTGCGTTTGCACATACTGATCCAGCGCTTGGTAAGGTCCGAGATTGGGGTGCATGTGGAAGTAGTTGAACAGGGGGTTCATCTGTCCAATAATCTCCGAGATCTGAGGCATCGTCTTGTAAGCGCCTGCTTTACTGCCAACCCTCCCCCAAATTCTTGATTTGGCAATGCGGGTTGCAACTCACCTCGAGGAACTGATGGACTGCCTCGGTGACGTGAGTGCCACGCCTAATCAGGGACTGGGGAAGGTCGAGATCGGGCGGAGGAACGGCGGGCGACTTGGCAGGTCTTGTCTTGGACTTCTTGCTCATCTCGGGCGAAGCTTTCGGGTCCTGCGTGTTGAGCTTTTTCCACTCCTTGATCCAGTTATGATTCGGCTTCGCGGCCTGGATGACCATCCTCCTCGAGATGTACTCCTCGAAGTCGGTGCAGATAAACTCGAAGAGTTCAATCTTCTGCTCCTGATCGAACTGAGCACGCACTGTGCCCGTCGCAACCAACTATTTGTTATACCGTAGATTGTCAGCTCACTGATTGCCTCGTGACCAAGGGAAGATCCCAGCAACAACAGAGGCTCTAGGGTACTCACGTGAGAGCCGCCCTCGAACCAGTATTGCAGGCTCGCCTTGCTGTTCTCAATATAGTGGCAGTCCCCGGTCAGGGGTTTGTCCGTTGTGCCCTTCTCCATTATCAACTGAATGTTTATGACACCGCTCTCAAAGTGGGTGCTGAAGTAGCGGGCGAGAGTCGGGAATCCGATCTCGTACTGCTTGTCCCCTTCTTGGTCGTCCAGCGTGTGGAGCGTCTGCTTCCAGACACCCCTGGGCGAGAAGAATCGTTGCACAAACGTGGTCCAGTACGACAGATCGTCATTTTGCTTTGCGCCCTATTATTGACCAGAAAGTTAGTGCTCCAGCACTACAAGAGGAGGAAGCGGTGGAAAATCAGTGCCATAACCCCACTTACCGAATAGCCACTAAGGTGTTCGGCAAACTGCATCAGTTTCAAGAGACAGTGGCCCTTCATAGTTTCCCTCTTCTGCGACGACATATTCGCGAAAGCGTGCTGCGCGGTGACCGGTGTAGGAGGTTGGTTCCCGGGACCCGTAGCCAGTGCATGGCCGACCTGGGGCGCTGGCTGGTTCTGCGGCTGGCCCGGCGGTCCGATTGCCCCAGGGCCTGGCGGTCCTTGCTGTGGTTGCGGCGTCGGGGGTTGTTGCGGGCCCTGTTGGGGCTGCGGCGTCTGTGCCTGTTGCGGCGGCTGGGGCTGGGCCTGCTGCTGTGGCTGCTGCGGTCCCTGAGGGCCTTGGGGGCCGTGCGGACCCTGCGGACCTTGCGGACCTTGCTGAGGCTGCTGAGGAGGCTGCTGCTGAGCCTGCTGAGCCTGCTGCTGTTGAGCCTGCTGCTGCTGGGCCTGCTGTTGAGCCTGCTGTTGCTGGTGCTGGGCCTGCTGCTGAGCCTGCTGATGCTGGGCCTGTTGCTGGTGTTGGGCCTGCTGCTGCTGCTGGTGTGCATGTTGTTGCTGTTGTTGGTGCTGCTGCTGCTGCTGTTGTTGCTGTTGCTGTTGCTGCTGCTGCTGCTGTTGCTGTTGCTGAGCTTGCTGCTGCGCCTGCTGCTGAGCTTGTTGCTGTGCATGGGCCTGCTGAGCTTGCTGTAATGCAGCAAGTTGGGCAGGCTGCATCTGCTGGAGTTGGGAGCCCATCTGCCCGCCCTGGTTCTGATTCTGGCCCTGCTGGGCGGCCTGCTGCTGCATGGCGAGCTGTTGCGCGGCCATTAACTTTATATCAGCCAAAATCTGTCAGTTAACCCAGGTCTACAAATGAGATAAACAGAGGAGAGGGCGAGATCTGGGTTGCATGATGGAAAGGGCCTCACCTGCTGCTGCTGCTGGCTGGGGTGCTGCTGCTGCTGCTGTTGTTGCTGCTGCTGTTGCTGTGCCTGTAGGCGTCGTTGTTAGATTGTGCCAACCGTGTTATATCCGGCAAACAGCATGTCCATACCTGGCGCATCCGCATTTGCTGTTGGATGTGTGCTATCTGCTGTGGGTTCATCTGTCCCATCTGGCCCATCGGGATGCCGATCGGAATGCCTGGGTTTATGTTTCCATACATTCCCTGCTGAGCCATCAGGACCTGTCTCGCTTGCTGCTGCTGTATTTGTTGGTGGAGTTGTTGTTGTCGCATTTGATGTTGGAGGACGGCTTGCGGATTGTTATCTGTCGTTGGCACATCAGCACGGATCGCACCACAAGACGGAGAGCCACAGTTCGGATGGAGGGCGGCAGGAAAACCAAAGGACATCGAGGGCCTGTTACATACATGCCATGGAGCCCATCTGCTGTTGCTGTTGGAACAGCTGCTGCTGCTGCTGTTGCGACATGTGCTGCATCGCGTGCGCGTTCGGGCTCGCGCCAGGGGGGATGCCGACACCGCCCATGAGCGCGGCAGGGTTGACTTGGGGACCAGGGCCCGACACGCTCATGTGGCCGAGCTGATGCGGCATGCCGCCGGGCTGGACGCCGGGCTGGCTAGGATTGTGCGCCATTCCGGGGGCCATACCCGGGTGGCCTGGTGGTACGCCTGGGTGCTGCTGCATTGCGCCGGGGTGAGGCGGGAACGACGGGCCCATGCTGGTCATCATTGCTGGTGTGTCGATGATCCACGGCGTGGATATCGACAGACTCGTCCAGGCTCTATCGCATGCGCAGATGGTGTTATCTCGGGGTGATTAACGGAAGGGCGTTGTCGGCGGCGTTGATGGCGTTGGCAGAGTTGCGGGATCTCGCGACCAGCCGCCGATCGATGGGCCAGACTACGCGCGCCGAAAGGGGTGTGTTGTTGTTCGGAATTGAATTTGAGTCGCTATATTATGAGGGGGGCTTCGAGGGAAATAAAAAATATTATGGCGATCGCGAACCAAAAACAAATTTTGATGAGCGACGACGTGAGGACAGAGGTCGACAGCAGTATGTCGGGCACAGAAAATGGCGGGTTTACTGGTCGTGGCAGACCAGGCGTGGGCGTGCGTTGGACAGGACGCGGGCACCGGGGGTGATGTGGATCTCTTCAGAGGGACGACTCGAAAAGCAACGCGACGCTAGGACGAGGTAGCTGCGCAGGGATTTGAGTGGGAAGGGCGAAAGGCGAAGAAAAATGGCGAGGAGAGAGAGCACTTGTTGGCTGGAAATCGGGGCAGAGACGAGGGAGAAGCGACGACCGAGTCTGCAGCGCAGAGGCAGCACGAAAAGTGGGGTCGGGGCCCCTTCTGGGGACGTGCTTGCCGTGCTGGTCCCAACTCACTCGTGCAGTCCCTGGAGACCGCGACGTTGTCAGGTTGAGTATCAGGGGCACATGAACAATAACAACCCACAACTACCACCTGCCACCCATCACTCGATGCGGATCTAGCCTTTATGCCAGGCCGACAGATCTTGCAAAACGGCGTCGATAACCTCTTTCAACCGCGGGGTGGGCACGGAGACGTCCTCCCTCGACATCCGAGATCCCACTCGTGTTTGCAGCCGCACCATCACCCTCACCAGATTCGGCGGCCAGCTCGCCCCACAGGAAAAGGTACTACAACCCACCCACTCCTTCGCTTGAGGCTGCTTGCAGTGCTTGCCTGGTCTCTAGTGGCGGATCTCCCGTCTTTTGCCTTGGTTTGCATCTTTAGAAATGGGAGAGCGGCACCTCTTGTTTGACGGCCTAGACCTCGGACTGCCTGCAAGATCCACATTGCCGCGAAAAACCGAGCGCAGGAGTGATCCCGGCCGGGATGCCAGCAACAATAAATCCCCCAATGTCGAACAGGTCATCAACAAACGGACTCGACTGGTAACTCTCCATCAAGATGCTTGATATTTTTTTTAAAACTAATCCTGCAGGTTCGACCCCAGCGTAGATCACAGCAGGCGCGGCCAGCAAACGCCCACACGCCCAACTGGTACCACCAGGCAGCGTGGACGGCGTGCGGCCTTGGACATTCGTGTGGGTAACACGCGATCTGATTACGTGATTGGCTCGATGGCCCATGCGCAAGTGGATACCTTTTTTTTTTCTTTGCTCCATTCTTCTGGAATATTTAGCCTCGCTTTTTTTTCCCTCTTCTTCTCGATATCAAACTTTTCTTTTCCTCAGTTGCCATCCGCTCTTCTTCATCTGTCTGGCGCTTGTAGACTACGAGGCAGAGAGCGGATGGCAGTCTTGATCCAGGTAAGCATCCGACGGCTAGCACGCACTTTTTCCCTTCCTTTCCCTCACTTCCTACCTCCCGCGCGCTGCGGCTCCGACACCAATATGATGATACCACATAATCGTCTTCATTTCCCAACCGAACCGACCATGAGGAAGACTAGTCCGGGCTGCCTTTCTACGGGAAGGCGCCTGCTACTTGCCAGTATTCTCACCTGACTTGGTGTCATTGAAGCCAGCACTTGCGCGCGCGAGATTTTCGGGCTTCCGAGCCACAGTCTGGAGATCGCATCAACTGACATGCCAAAGATGGTTTTCTAGGCGCTGCTTTCTGCTCTGTCTCGGACCATTGCCGGTGCGACGCGTGGTGCTCCTCGCGTCGCTCCTGTCCACGTGGTCACCGGAGTCTTCGGGGACCACGATCCGCCGTTCCTGGTAGGTTTTCTCTCCTCTTCACTCTCTCCTGCGCGTTCCCCAACTTTTCCCAACACCCAAGCATCAAAATGATGAATTTTCCAAACAAGTGCCTACATTCGCAGTGGCCTCTCGAGCCCTTAGAGCCTTTTTTGGGCAGATGAGAGCAAATACCTTCCTTGGATGTCTGATTTGATCACCCTTTGCTTTTATGCTTTGCCATGGACATGATTTGGTCGCAACAAACAGCTAACAAAGCGAAGATATCACTAGGAATATTGGCCTGTATGACCAGAGGGAGTGGACGCGTGAACAATGTTAGCTTAGATTGTATTCAATATCTCTAGACGAATAGCCTAACCTCATGATATCAATACGCCTGTACATCTACCTCGTGTTGCAATGTGTGAAGTGCTATATCTGCTGCTTGCTTGCCATCCAATGTACCCTTATGCAAAATGATCATTTTTAATGGTTCCTCAATTTCCTCTTCTCACTGCGACTGGATGTAGGGGATTGTCACTTGTCTCTTGCAGGATCTGTAAATCTGCCGCTGTTGATATATCTAGCCCTATGTTACCACCACATTCGCCACCGGGCAAAGACCCGTAAGATCATGCCGCCAGCTCGTCGCCAAGGTAAAGAAACCAAGTGCGGAAACAAGAGTAGTAGTCCTTCCTGTATTGAATGCGCCCGAGTAACGCCAGCCGAATCCCTGTCCGAGATTCCCAAACGAGAATGAAGTCATAAGCAGCCCGAGTAAAAGAAAGAAGAACCCCCGACAAAGCCAAATAGTAAAAAACCATGCTCCCCCCACTTTCAGCTCACAGCACAGCTCGACCACGACGGCTGTGCAGGGACCGGGTCAGCGCGGCCTTTCTAAGGCACGCTGACCTCCTCCCTGACGGTGCCGGTGGAGCTAAAGGCAACACTGCTACCGGCGCCGCCCACGCCGCCAAAGCCGCCCAAAAAGTCGCCGCCGCGGCGCGCGCGGCCGCCGACCATACCGCGCCTGTTCCTGCCGGTGCGGCCGCGGCCGAGCCAGTTGAGCTTGAGCAGGCGGCAGAGCTCCGACGTGCGCTCGTCGCCGCCGCCGTCGTCGCCGGCGGCGTCGGCGGCCCAGACGGGGCCGATGCCCGAGAGCACGCTCATGCACTGCAGCATGCGGCCGACCATCTCGGTCACCTGCTTGCTGTCTTCGGCGTTCTGCTCGCGCAGGCTGCCCAGGCTGGCCGCCAGGCCGCTGGCGCCCGGGCCGCCGGCGCCGAAGCCGCCGACGCCGCCCGACCGCATCTGCAGGCTGCTCGGGGTGAAGGGGCGCAGGAGGCTGCCGCCGGCGCCGTCGCTGCCGTGCGAGGCGTTGCTAATGCCGCGGCTGCGGTTGCCGCTGCTGCCCATGCCGGCGCCGACGCCGACCCCTGGGCCGCCCCCGCCGATCGTGGCGGACCCGACGTCGCCGAGCAGGGTCGAGCCGGTGCTGTTATAGCTGGCCATGGCCGGGTCGAGCGACATGGCGGTGCCGGGGCGGGGCAGGTACGACGACTGGGACACGCTGTTGAGCGAGAAGGAGCCCGTCGACTCGGCCGACGGCGACGTCGAGAAGTGCGCCGTCTGGCTGCTGCTGCTGCCGCCGAATCCGCCGCCGAACCCGCCGCCGAACCCGCTGCCGAACCCGCCGCCGCCCGTCGAGTCCGACCTGGGGATCGGCATGGGCGACGCCAGCGCCATGGAGGCGAGCGACTGCGGCAGGAACTCGAGCGAGAGGCGCGAGAACATGGCCTTGAGCGTGTCATAGCGCGGCAGGATGACGCGGTCGCGGAACGACGTGAGCACCATGCGCCGGATGTCCAGGACCGTCGACGCGGGCGAGACCGTGACCGGGCTCTTCTCCGAGGCGCCGAGCTCCCCCTGCGGCCTTGCCAGGACGCCTCCCCAAAAGTCGCGGGCCTGCTCGGCGCTCATGAGCGAACCGGCCCCCGCGAGCTCCAGGTCCAGAGGCAGGAAGACGGCCTGCATGTAGGGCAGGACCGTGGTGAATGTGAAGATCCAGAGCTCCACCAGGGCCGGCACGAGTGTCTCCTCGGCCGTTACCCTGAGGGCCTGGTCCAGGGAGCTAAAGCCCGTAGCTAGCAGGTCGCGCACGTCTTCGACGATGAGGTTGGGCAGCCGCTTCGCGATGGTGTACTGGATGTGCATGGTGACGACGCGGTTGAGGTCCTCGATAGGCGGGCGCAGGTCCTCGCCCTCGAAGATGACGAGCAGCTTGGCCCTCAGGTACGGCCAGGCGTCGTCCATACCGATGCTGTTGAGGCCGAGCTTGCCCGAGTCGACCGAGTCGTGGAGGTACAGGCTTGACTGCCCCGCTGGCCCCAGGCTGCCCGGGCCAGCCCACTCGGCTGCCGGTAGGGAGAGGCTTGACTCGGCGTTCTGCTCCTCCTTGCGTTTCTCCCGTAGCGCCCGCCCGCCGTGTCTCAGGTCTAGGCCGCTCATGCTCTTGAACGTCGTCGAGCTCGGGCCGGGGCTGGCGGGGACGTTGAAGCTGTAGAGGCTGCTCGGGGCGCTTGGGTCCGTCGGCCGTGAATTGCTGCGGGCCGAAGAGAGGGGCAGGTGGTACTCCTCCGACTTGTCCTTCAGCTTATTCTTCTGCCGTGACAGGAAGTGGTGCTTCTTCTCCTTGTCCTTCTCGCCACCCTCGGGCTGCGCGTCGGCAGCCCTGATCGTGGCCGAGGACGAGTTCGCGAGGCTGTAGAAGGAATTAGCCGTCGAGTCGAGACTGGTGGTGCTGAAGTTGCCCCGTTGCAGCGACGACAACGCCGACCCTATCTTCGAGGGGCTGGGCTGGGGCTTCTCCTTGGTTTCGGATTTGGTGTATATCTTGCCGGGCCTCGAGAACAGCTTGACCTTGGACTTTGGCGGCAGCGGCGGAGCGGGCGGCGGAGGTTGGGGCGCAGGTTGAGGGGCCTGGGCCGGGGTAGACGAGTGTTGTGTGACGCGAGGGAACACGACGTTTGCGGCGGCCTGGGCGGCGGGCGAGTGCGTCTGCTTCTGCGTCTGCGGCGTGCCGCTGTGGTAGCTGCTGCCGAACATGTTCTCTTGCGGGGCGCTGGCCTCGGTAAGGCTCAGCATCGGAGGGCTCAGGGGGCCTCCGCTGCCGCGCTTGGGGTTAGGGAGCTGGTATGCATGGTCTTCGCCGAAGAGGGCCGGCACCGTCTGCGACCTTTGGCGGTTGTGTTGCTGCTGCACATATTGCTGCTGCTGCTGTTGTTGTTGCGGAATTTGAAACTGTGGTTGTTGTTGGCTCTGGGGCTGTTGCTGTTGCTGCTGGTGCTGCAACACGGCGGCCTGCGCGGCGATGTGGCTCGCGCTGAGCTCGCGGTGGGCCGGAGCCGGCTGCGGCGACGCCATGTTGTTGACGATGTGGGGGAGGTTGTTGGTCGAGGTGGAGGGCAGGGTGGCCTCGAACATGCCCGGCGCGGTGTGCGCGTGCTTCCGGGAGGCCAGCTGGTACGAGGACAGCCTTCCGGTGCTCGCCGCGGGAGTATTTGCGCCGCTGTTGCTGCTGCTGCCGACGGCGGGCGGGAGGGTCAGGGGCGACGTGCCTCTCGACAGGTCATGGCTGGCGGCGGCGGCGGCGACGGACCGGGCAGCGGCGGCGGCGGCGGCCGTGGGCGACAGGACGCTGGGGCGCGAGAAGTTGCTATGGAGGCTCGTGGTGCTCGAGCTGGGGCCTTGGGAGGTGAAGCTCGCGTATATCGGGGTCGAACTCTGCGGTGTCGGGGGTCGTTGCTGCTGCTGCTGCTGCTGTTGCGGCTGTGAGGGCGGGCCTCGGCTGGATCGAAACAGGGATGATATGGGGCTGGTCGAGTCTTCGCTCGTCGTGGACTCGGCTCTCCGCGCTCTCGATCGCGACGAGAGATCTGACGACGAGGTCGACGATGGCGGTCGCGGCTGCAAAGGGGAAAAGCCACCGGCCTGGGCCCTAGCGGGCGGGGGCCTTCCTGGCTGCATTTTCGGCGTTGACCTCCTGTTTCCGCAGGGGGACGTGCAAGGAGGGTCCTCACTTGCTGCACCCTTGTCCCGGTCGACGTCAGGTAGCGAAGCGTCGCTGGCCGTCGGGCGGCATCGGGGGTCTTTTTATTTTTGTCGCCCTCGGGGTTTACTGCTCTTTGGGACCAGAATGGCGATCGCGTCTTGCAAAAGGCAGAAGCCAGGCAGGTGGCGAGGTCGGCAGGACGAGCATTGGGTCAAGGAAGCCTGGTGGAAAGCAGGAGGAAGTCGAGCTGAGGGCGGCTGTAATCAAATCCAGCGCCAATTGATTCTACTAGCGGCAGCCCCGACGAGCTGGAATAGCGCAACGGCAGAAGATTGACGACACGAAGTTCCTGACCCCACCAAAGAATCCCACCTCGTACCAAACCAGCAAGTCATTCGCTCAGCCGTGCCGCCAAAACCACAGCGCAAGCAAAGCAGCAAACCAACACCCACACACACACACACACACACGCACACGCACAGGGATCTTACAGAACAAACAATGTCAGACTCCAAACACATCTCGGTCGTCTCGGCGACTTACAAGAGCCCCACGAACGAGCCCTTTGCAGCGGCTAGCGACATCACGACCGCGACCCCCGTCCCCCCCTCGGCCGCCCTCAGCCTCGAGGACAAGACCAAGTTCCTGCAGGACCTGCGCGCATCCGTCTCGGCCGTCCAGGAGCAGGTCAACAAGGAGCTGACGCGGCGCATGGACGATGACAAGGCCCGCAAGGCCACCGCCGGCAACCCCGTGGACGAGGCCAAGGAGGAGCAGAACTACGGGGAGGAGGTCGTGGACGAAGACGACTGAGGGTGATGGGGTGTGTATAAAGGCCAGGTCCTGCCTTTGGTGATTGGCGGCTGTACTCCATATTACACAGCGGTTGAGAAAAAAAAAGAGAAGGATGGAATTGGGCAACAACGATGGCGACCACAAAAGAGCATCGCTAGCCAGGACGCATCATCAGCCAGCAGGACCCAAACAAGAAACCCGAACAGGAAAGCCGTCGCTATCTAATAACCGCCAACCCTCCCCCAGCTCGGCCCCCTCTCTTTCGATGCTCGCTCTTTCGATGCCACCCCACCGCGGGTCGCCTTGTTGAGGCAGCCATAGTGGACGACCGTGTTGTCGGGCAGCACGGCGATGACACTCCCGCCCAGTCGCTTGTGGCACACACCGCACACGCGCTCCTCGCTAATAACCACGCGACGGCTCCTCCCGCCCTGCTCGGGCACGCCTCTGGCCCCTCCCGCCCCGTCGTCACCGAGGAGCAGGCGCGCCTGCGCCGAGACGAGCTCCGTCTTGCGCATGCCCGCCACGACGCGACCTTCGTTGACCACACTATTGGACGACCGGATCTGTCCGCGGAAATAGGCCTCGAGCTCCGACACGGGCAGCGAGTCCGGCAGGAGTGACAGCGTCGACGACGCCGGCAAGCGTGAGCCGTGCTTGGACAGCAGGTCTAGCGCCGACTCCCTGTTCGGTGACGGCGGTGACTGGCCGCGCCGCCGGGTCGGGGGGTTGAGGTACAGAGAGAGCAGGGTGTGGTGGATCGAGGGCTCTGATTTCTCGTCGTCCTTGAAAGGGTCTTTCTCGCCATAAGATGGGGGTGACGCCATGGACTTCAGCCCTGCAGCCCCCTCCGTCTTGTGCACCTGATTGCAATATCTATACAGGAAAAGGCGGTCAGGGCGAGTTCAAGTAGCATTTCAGTAGCAAGAGCCCGTTTCACATACTCTTCGGCTTTCGCGTAGTCTTTCATATCAAAGACGTAGATCTCCAGGGCCTGCCGGTGGGATCCCATATTGCTTAGGACGATTGCCTGTGCTTCGTAGAATGCAGGATCTGCTCAAGGTGAAAGAATAACCAAAGGTTAGTTTGACGATGAAGAGGCTATGCTGCTGCACGCGGAGAATCTCATGACCGCCAGGGTTGCACTCACCCTCCTTGTCGATTAGGTCAAAAGCTCTATGTAGGCCGTACTGCCCCTCCTTTAGGAACCTAAGCAGCCGGTCCATCATGAGGTTCCACTCCTCTCCCTTCTCCTTGGTCTGCAGGTGCTTGATCAGGATGTCGACCAGCCGGTTGTGGAAGTCGGGCGTCATGTCGTTGAGCTCCGAGATGATGTGGTCGAGGTACTGGACCTCGAGCTCGACGTCGATCCTGCCCAGGAACTCGACCACCTTGTGGCGCGGCAGCGTCTCGGCGTTCTCCGTGTCGGCCACAAAGACCTCCATGGCGAGCCCGGGCGCGGCCTTGAGGGTCCACTCGGAGAACTCGAGGATGAGGTCGATCATCTCGGGCGGGAGGCTCTGCAGGTACCTGACGGTGCGCTCGGGCCCGTGCAGGGCCTCGGGCACCTCCTCGGGCTGGTCCCCGGAGCCAAATCTCTTGAGCAGCTCGAGCGCCTGGCGGTGCAGCTTCTTGCCGTGGAAGAAGTCGATGAGCGGGGTGTAGCTGTTGTGCTCCAGCAGCTTGGCGTTGACGACCTCTGGGTCGCAGAAGTTGGGGATGCGGAAGAGCGAGCGGGCCAGGTTGGGGTTGGCGAACATGTAGGCGCGGAAGAGGGAAGTGTCGACGAGCTTGAACGCCTCCTGCAGGTCCTTTTCCAGCTGCTCCTCGGACTCGTCCTGGTGCGAGCCCAGCAGGCTCCTGAAGGCCTCTTCGGCCGACGCGTCCCGGGAAGGCTTGAGCTTCCCTGTCACGGGGTCGATGACTCTCTGAAGACGTGCGCGCGCTCCGGCCAGATAGCCGTTGAGCTCGAGCACCGCATCCCTGAGCTCCTTGCCGTCCAGAACTCCGTCGTCTGCTGGCTTCGCCTTGATGCTCTTCGCATCGTCGTCCGCGTCACCAATGCTCTTCTTTGTCGAGGCGATGGAGGCTGCGTCCGAGTCTACCGCCTTTCTGCCGCCTCCCAAGAACATCCTGGCAAACCCGCCGGTTCTCGTAACCGTCTCTGCTGTCTCGGCGGCGGCTGCGACTGCGGCTGCGGCTGCGCTTGTCGGTGGCGAATCGGATTTCTGGCAGTCCTTGACCCCATCCGTCTTTCCATCAGTGTCGTCGTGGTCTGCCGCATCCTCGTCGTCGCCTTTGACAGCGCATGCCGACAGCTCGCCAGCTATCACAGGCGGGAAAAGCCGCAGTACCCGGTCCGGGGGCGCGTGGACCGAATCTTCATTAAAAAGGTCCATCGACTCCCGAAATTTGCCTTGCCTGAAAAGCAGCTCGGCCTTCTGCATCTTGACCTCGCGTAGCACCTCGGTCTTGTTCTTGAGGAGCGCATCCTCGAGCATGTTGAGGATGCTGATAGCCTCGTCGTAGCGGGCCGCAGCCATGAGCTCGTTGACCTGCTCGTCATAGTCGGTCGTGTTCATCTTCCAGACGAAGCGGTCGCTCGAGATATGAAAGCCCTTGGGCAAGCTCGGGGCCGGCGGGGGGAAGTGCAGCTGGGTGGCGCCCGGCAGGGAGATGGTCTGCAGGAGGCTGAGGGTGTCCGGGTTCCGAACCTCGAGACCGCCCTTGGCCGGGGGCTGCAGCGCGAGGAGGTAGGGGTAGCTGTACCCGACGCTCTCGGGGGCGAACTGCCAGGGCACCTGGCGCTTCTCGAGCAGCTTGCCCTCGTCGTTGATGAACATGGTGTTGATGTCCTTTGCGAGCAGCAGCTCGCCGTCGCCGAGCTTTGTAGCCAGCGGCTTGGGCATGTACCCGCCCAGGCCCATGTAGCCCATGCCGGCTGTGCTGTAGGCGCCAAACCTACTGACGCCGCCCTGGGCTCCGGCGCCCGCGCCGCCGCCGCTGCCGACGTGGCCGCCCGTGATGCTCGAGGTCTCCTTTGTGGTCACGTCAACGAGCATGTACTCGGAGTTCATGCCGCACACGATCTTGGTCGCGCTCGCCCAAGTCAGGGAGCGGATGGACTCGGGCAGGACGACCTCGGCCACGTCGGGGCTCAGCTCGTACTCGTGCCAGGTCCACAGGTAGAGACGGCGCTTGACGGCGACGGCCAGGCGGCTGACGATCTCGGGGACGCCGGTCGGGTCCTTGACGACGTTTGATGTGACGGCGAAGCATGTTGCGTTGCGCGTGTTCGCCAGCGGGGCCTCGATGGGCTCGAAGGAGCTCAGGTCGTGCAGCGACACAGCGTAGTTGGACAGCGAGACCAATGTGTTGGCCTCCTTGATTATCGCCAGCTGCTCGATGGCGCGTGTCGAAAACTTCTCTACCTCGCGGAGCAGGGCGGTGGGTAGGGGCTCGAGGGGCGGCGGCGCGTCACCGCCATCCGCGGCGGGTGCGACATCTTTGGGCTTGGCTTCAGGGTGCCCGTTGGTGGCTGTGTCGTTGAGGCGGTATACACGGAGGTCGCCCGTGTTGAGCCCGACGAGAACGCGATCGCCTGTCGTTTCCAGCACCGATGCCCGTCAGCCTCCAGTGCAGTAGGTACCTACCTAGGTATGTGAACTCGCCGGGGGTAGGCGGAGTAAGGAGGTACTGACCATATGCGAGGACGGTCTCGATCTTGGACTTGTAGCGCGGTTTCAGCTCGATTATCGGGCGAGCCGTAAATGCGGAAAGCATGGCTGCGGCCAGCTCGGCCTCGAGGACTTGATCACGGGCGCTGGCTCATGAGGCCGAGATGGTTGATGGCTTTGAGGCGGCGCGTATCGGCATCGAGACACTGACATCAGGTAGAAAGCGGGCCGACAAACGCACGTGCCATCACAGTGTGACGGTGACATTGAAGTCGGTACGTCAGCGTGCATTTCGCTCTTCAGGCACAGGATCCCCTTTTTCTCCAGCTTCCTGTCCCTCTTTTTGTTTGTCTAATTTCTATACCTTCTTTTGGAACTATTGTTCTTTTTTGTTGCTTAGCATTACGAGGTGCCGGGCTGCGATTATCGCAGATGATGATCAAATTTTGAACACCCCGCCTTCCTAGGCTAATCTATTTATACGCTTACTCCCAAGTAAAGTCGAGCTGTATGTATCACTTCTTTCTCGTTATTCAAGACCATCATCTCGCAGATTGAACATCTCCAAGCAGCTGGTGATTGTCCGCATATCCGTCATAGCGCACTGACACATTGATAGTACACACCCTACTTCCTGTATCTCGCTTTCTCCGGATACCCGTAGGTAATGTAGCTAGCTTTCTATGTAAGCGCTGTCTATTTCTTGCCAACCGATTTCGCTGTAGAAAGACTGCCACACTTGAGTCCCATCAACCCTTGTAAAGCTCCTGTCTACCAAATATTTTTCTATTGATCTGATCAATCTGTACTCAGTGGTGTCTGCTGCGTTTGCTAAGAGTCAGACTTTGATCCCCTTCATACCTTCTCTCAATCCGTTTCTAGCGCCATCTCCTGTTTCTATCCCCAAGGAAATGCCAACACCTGCCAGTGGCAGTATGAACAGCCCCATCTCAACCAAAACTGCTATTTTCCGGCCTCAAGCGGGGACGAGGGCTTCGCGTGGAAGCGCCGAGGGTTCCCAAGGACTATCGTCGGGCTGACAAGTCTTGCTTCCCCCGACACAAAAGGTGAAGAGGTCATCCACCACCCAGTGACACCCGTCCTATGCTGCGACAAAGGACTCAAAAGTGTTGGTTCCAAAACAGAATGAGCAAAAATGACAGGAAAAAAGCCTCAATTAGCACCGCCGAGCGGCCGATCAGCGAATAGTTCCACCTCCCTTGTAGATGCCCTCGAGCGATTCGAGTATGTCACTACCGCCCAGCATTCCGACGCCCCCGGTGGCAGTTTTCTTGTTGGCGGGCCAAACTTCGTAAAACTTGACGCTTTCGTCGCTGGCCGCAACCACGACGCACCCGCCGCGGTTGCTGTTGACGCTCGACAACATGTCTTGAAGTTCGTCGCGCTGACCCGACCGCCTCTGTCGGGATCGTTCCTTCCACGGAATCGATGATCTCGGTGGCTCGATTGGATACTGAACCGCGCACAGGGCCCGGTGCTTACCCTCCCAGGGGATGGCGGCAATCTGTCTGCAACTCGGCCATGCGAAGACGGCGATGCGGTATGGATGGTCCGGCTGAGGGTAGCCAAAGGTGGCGGCTATCTCACGCCGCGTCGTGCTCCACATCAGGCCCGTTACCTGCGAGGCCACGGCAATGGTGGCCAGGGCTACGCCGGTAGTTGCGTGAAAGAAGTGAATGCATCTATCGTAAGAGCCACCGCCCGTCGCGACGAGGCCCTCCTGCCAGGGACAGAATGCGATGGCCTTGACGGCGGCGCCGTGCGGCCATCGGTGCTTCTCAGATCCGAGAGGCAGGGGATTGGCGATGATTGGATGCCTCAGGGCACTTCCGCCATCCTCGTCGTCCGTTTCTTCAGGCTCGTAACGCGGTTCCGGGTCGAAGGCCTGTTCTGTCGCGTTCATCTCCTCGCTGCCCCTAGTTGTCATGGTGGGGCTGGGCGCTGATCCGAGGACCTCTTCAGTATCGAACAGGCAGCAGTTGTTGTCGTTGCTACCTGAAGCAAACATGTTGCCCATCTTGGACCAGGCGAGTCCACAGATCTGCTGGCGGTGCGCGTTGATCATGTGGACGACCCTTACCTCTCCCTTCCAGTTATCCCTTGCCACCTCCCAGTCGAATGGCCATTCGACGATCAGGTAGTAGATGTTGCCCTTCTCGTCACCAACGAGCAGATCCTCCGTCTCGACATTGACGCCAGGATGGTTCGGGTTCCTCGAGGCCCGAGTAGTGCATACCGGCTTCTAGCTGACGCACGTAACGGGATCGGGTTGCAGGAGTTCCATGCGGGGCCTCCGCTCGTACAGGGCCATCAGGCATACCGTTTTGTCCGAGGTTCCGTACGCGATGATCTCTTTGCCGCCGCCGCACGAAGAGAAGGCGACTGATGTGATGTGACTCGATGAGAACTGATTGTCCAGTGTGTTGACGCCCGCCGCTTCCGACCACGTGTACAGGGTGCTACCGAGGCCAACTGCAAGAGTGTGGGAAGCAGGCGAGTATGCCAAGACGGAGCAATAGAAGTCGTCTCGCAGCCGTGGTGCGTCGAGGACCCGGAAGGGTGAACAAGGTAAAACTCGAGTTAGACTATCTGGGCCGCGTGCCTCTGGGTGACAGCATTAGCAAACTGTAACATAATCACATCACTAAGGGCATTGGCGCACGTACTCGGAGGCTTCGCGTCATTGATCCACTGGGCCCCATTCCAGAAGGTCTTCCGAGGGGACATCCTATCCCACCTCGGTGCCTTCTTTCTCGAAGCTTTGTGAGGAGACCCGGTAAAATCGAAGTCGAGGATACGGAGAGCACGGTCGATCTCGAGGGCCGCAGCCAGCCTTCCCTGGTGTTGCTCCGCTTCCTCGTCCGGCTTGAGATCCGGACCCAAGAAGTCACACGAGAAGAAACGAGTGTTTGTACCTCTCAGCGCGAAGTTGCCACGACCATCACCAACGGCGATACTGACGCTGTTGATGTCAGGAGCAACGCCGCCGACGGCCCAGACTGAGCCGCTGTTCGCCCGCGCTCCTTCGCGCTGCGGGATTGTGGCCAGGGCAGTTCTAAAGCCTTCCCGCACAATGCCGTACGTCTCGCGTGCTTCGAGAATGAGAGGGTCGAATACCGCAGAGCCGTTTCGGAGATCAGAGCCGGTTCGGACCGCAGAGCCGTTTCGGCGCGGACGCAAACAGAATGCGTCGGGGGTTTCACGCTCGTGCCGAAGCAACCTCTCGGCCGTGGACATCTGCCCAACGGGCTTTGTCGTCTTGAACTTCTCCGAGCTGGGGATGAACGAGTCTCGAACCGGGACGAACCGGTCTGGAAGGCGGAGGGAGCCCCTGAACACTTTCTGCAAGGCGACGGCAGCTGAGATTTGACCCTGCTTCACCATAGGCTGTTCGAGATAGAAGGACACATTTGTCGTAGTTGAAGGGCGCGTAGGGGTCGAAATCTTGTGCGAGATAGAATCCTTGGTGGTCGGTGGCGGGCTGCCACCGGGGAAAAGGTCAACATCTTCGCTAACCCTCTCATCAGAGTCAGTCTGACCACCATTGTCGCTGCAGCTCGGTCCGTCGTAGATATTATAAGCATGTGCAACCAGTGAGGAGAAGAGCGTGGCGGCCACCTTCTTATTCTCGTTGATATTCTGGGGTGTTCCGGCTGCCTTAGAACCGTAGCCAGAGTCCGTAGGCGATGGGGGCGATGGGGGTGCTAGGAGCGACTTGGGCGACGCGCAGCGGCGGCGACGGTTTGGCGCGGGACTGATGAGCCTCGGGCGCACTGGTAATTTGTAGAGTTGAGGGTTGGGTGAGGCGCCGTCTGTCATGGCCATGCCCGAAGAGTCTGTCTGGTCTGCTGGATCAATGGACTCCCCTGGAGGCTCTGACGCCCTAGACGCCATCTCGGCCGAGCCGAGTGGTCGCTCGGGCGTGGCAGTAGAGAAGCAGCTCGGAAGGAATGCAGTGATGGAAGATAGCTGACGAAGATGAAGAACGATAGTGTCAGCGCTTCCTGATAGAAGCCGGTGGTCGTTGATGCCCCTTGACGATAAAACCGCGAGAGCAGCAGAAACGAACGACTTGGTTGGCGGCGGACTGTTGTCAATGGATGAGGGGGATTAACAGTGCCAGATGAAAAACCCAATCTATGGCTTGCTTTATGGAGATGCTCTCCTTGGCGATGTCTCAGTAACGACACCAGCTGCCATCCTGGGGGCGGAACAGCCACTAGAAGATGCGCCGACTGCAAAATATGACTGGCTGGCCTGGCGGTGCCGGGGGTGTCGGATTGAGGAGGGAATCCTAGGTCCAAGGCAGGCGGCAAGAAGAGGAGAATGAGAAGGAGGAGGAATGGTAGGAACAAGGGTAAGAGTGGGTGGGTTGCTATTGTAAAACCTGACAGAATAGAGCTTGGACACTCGACAATAGCGACTGGACATATTCAAGGTGACCGAGCCCTAGCCGGTGGAGACCAGCGCACATCGTCTCAAGAACAGATGGAAGGCATGTTTGCTTGTGGTGGGCATTCCTGTCTTGCACTTTCCTCGATGACAAACAGAAGTGGAGATGAAGGAGCGATCCTATGTGGCTTCTGTGTCGGCCAGTATGGCACACCACCTCAAGCGCAAGCGCAGACATCGAAAACTCCTCAAGTTCGCGGCAAGGAATTCTTTCATGCCTGCTTGAGGAGAGATATAATGATGCGCGTTGGCTGTTGGTCTAGATAGACGATATTTTATTCCTGGGAAGGAGCGTGTTGCTGGCCATACCAGCGTTGCTGCATCCTGATCAGCCGTATGCCATTTCAAGAAACATTGCGACTTCAACCAGTGAAAGTGAAGGGCACCAACTCATGGGCCAATGAACGGTGCGGGTAACCGTCCCGTTTGTTGAATATCGGACGGGGTAGGGGTGCCTCAAGGTCGAATAGACGTTACTGCCTGTGGTCTGCTTGAGTTGATTATGATGCTTGAGACAACTTGGAACCTGGGTGAGCGCTGGAGGTAGACAGTGATGACAATCTGATGAGATCTCATTGACACCGCAATGGATGCCTAGCCGAGGGAGCAGCACCGACAAAGACGCGGCCACCGTCGGTTGAATAAGTGTGAGAGATAACTGACCAACGGAGGGGACAGCTCAGCCAAGGTGGGCGAAGACAAGGTGGGGAAAAGTGGACCCCCAAACCTCAGCCAAGGTGGCAAGGGGGGTAAAAATGCGTATGCATTGCATATGCAAAGCTTGTACAATATTTTTAAAAAATGATAAATGAATTATTAAATATTAAATCATTTAAAATTAAATATAGCGTTTTATATAATTACTTGTTTTTTATTTATTTATATAATATTTTATTATTTATATTTTTATACGTTTTTACTAATTTTTTTTTAAAAAAAAACAATAATTGCATATGCGTTGCATATGCAATTCAAAACCACCTCAGCCAAGGTGGGAGAAAAAATGGGTCGTTTAACCAAATTGGGGGATTTTTTAAGCTCCCACCTTGTCTGAGGTCTTCGCCTACCTTGGCTGAGCTGACTACTCGCGCTCTGTGATGTGACACGCGGCGTGGATAACATGCAATAGGGTGGATCCGGACCCACCAGCGTTGCAGCGCGGGGGCGTCATCCATGGAGCCGTTGTGTTGCTGCCCTTGCAGTGCAAAAGCCAACGACTCCCGCGACACCCGAATGACGTCCCCCGCCTGCTGGTGCACCAGACTGGCTGGTGTTTTTGTTTGTGCTTGTCGTGCTTTCCCCGTGAAGCTGCAGCCATGGCGAGCGTAGGTGCCCTCTTCTTCCACGACCCAGTACACGCGGCCGTTTGAGCACTCCTCGGATGCCCTCGCACTTGGCGCCACCCATGGACTGTTTGCTGAGGCCACCTCACGTCAAAAGCACGGTGTAAGCCGCTCGGTTCGACCTCGCACTGAAGAGCAGAGACTACAAGAAGTCGACAAGATCAAGAAATACCGCGACCTCGAGGCCCAGCTGAGGACCGAGGTGCGTGCCCGCTGGCTGGCGCCGCCCAACAGCCCCAACACGGCCCCCCCTGGCCCGCGTCCCGGCGCAGCACACCCGCCACTTGGCTAACACCCATGGCGTTGCATCGGTGATCGGCTTGCCAACAAAACCAAAACAGCTCGCACACCACAATCAAGGACCTGACGTCTTCGCGCTCACCTCGCGCCTGCTCAAGCTCAACCCGGAGTACTATTCAGTATGGAACGACCGCAGACGCTTGCTAATCTCTGGATTGTTGTCCGCACCCTCGGCTGGCTGCTCGCCCTCGAGGGTGTCGCCGAGTTCTTCTCTGACATCCACTACCACAACGTCATCCGCCGCCTCCTTGGCGTCTTCATCGACCACGACCCCTCACACCCGCGACTCCCAGACGACTGGGCCGAGTGGTACTACAGTTGACGCTGCCGGGGCAGGCACCGACTCTGGCAATGAGGACGGCCAGGATAAGGCCAAGGACCAAGAAATTCTGCGGTCCGAGCTCGCCTTCACCATCCCACTGCTGATGGAGTTCCCTAAATGCTACTGGATCTGGAACTACCGCCTGTGGGTGTTGCAGCAGGCCGTCCAACGTCTCGACATGCCCGTCGCTCGCCGCATATGGGAGGAGGAGCTTGGGCTGGTCGGCAAGATGCTGACCAGGGATCGGCGCAACTTTCACGCGTGGGGCTACCGCCGGCACGTCGTCGCCAAGCTTGAGAGCGCCGAGCTCGCCGGCAAAAGCCTTGTCCCAGAAGAATTCGAATACACCACCAAAATGATCCGCGTCGATTTGTCAAACTTCTCGGCCTGGCATAACCGGAGCAAGCTCATCCCTCGGCTCCTGAAGGAACAGGGGGCTGGAGACGTTGAAAGGAAGAAACTGCTTGACGACGGTAGGCAGAAAGGCCCCGGCAATGGTACTGGAAAGTTGGTTGGTTGGACCAAGTGCTGACTATGTTGGGAATGTACAGAGTTGAAGCTCATCCGGGACGCCTTGAACGTCGGCCCGGAAGACCAGTCTCTCTGGTACTATCACCAGTTTCTCATGCTCAATGTCTTCAATACCCTTGGAAGCGAGTCCATGGCGCCCAACCTGTCTATGGCGGAGAGGGTGGCTTACGTCAACCGAGAGATGGACGACATCAGGGACTTGCTCGAGGACTACGAGGACATCAAATGGCTATACGAAGCGCTCGTCGAGTACACGGTCGCCCTGTCGAAGGTAGAAAGTCGGAAGCTGACGAGCGAAGAGCTGGGCCGGTTGAGGGAGTGGCTAGGGAAGTTGGATGAGCTCGATCCCATGAGGAGAGGGAGGTGGGCGGACGCCAGGAAAGAATATGGTCTTGGCTAGCATTGTCACAATATAATGGATTCAGTTCATTGTCGCGTATAATGAATTTTCATTCACGGCGGCCGAGCTGCTGGATTACAACAAAAAGAGTCACTAAACAGCAAACAGATCACTCCCCAGCCTATATTATACCCCCGCAGGGCATAGCAGTTACGAAGACCATCAGTTAATATGGGTTTCTCCGGGTTTTCTTTCACATAAAATACACAGCGAAATTGGAAGATCCCTCATAGCGGTATGTGGCCGTTACATTTGTCCACAACCAAGCCCGCCCTGTCCCCGACGAGCCCGTCAAAGTAGGCGAGCAGCGTGTCCAGCGGCAGCATGTCCATCTCGCCCAGCGCGGGGCTGGCCGACTTGAGCACCTTTCCGCTGAACAGGGTCCGGACGAAGTAGCCTCCGCCACTGCCGCCGCCGCCGGCGGGCGCGTCCTTGCGCCTCCGCCACAGCTCAAAGACGACCTCGCTGCCCATGCCGGGCCAGACCATCTCGTCGAGCTGCAGCACCGACAGCAGCCTGCTGACGGACCCGTCGTGCGCGACGTTGTGCCGGTAAACGATGCCGCCGCCGCTACTGGCACCACCACCACCACCACCACACGCTGCGGCCTCGCGCAGGTGCGCGGCCAGCTCGGCGACCCAGACGCCCATGGCGGCGGCGGCGGCGCCCAGCGTCTCGCGCGAGCCGCGGTACACGTGGGCGTACTCCCAGTGCCCGAATCTGTAGACCTGGTCCGCCAGGGCCTGGTCGACGCAGGCGGACGTGTCGTTCCTGACGACGCCGCCGGTGCCGTCGGGGACCAGCTTGCACGGCAGCGGCTTGGCGTGGCACTGGCGCGCCGAGAGGTTGTCAAAGTAGTGGTCCAGGCTCTTGTGGAAGCCGGCGTCGGCGGCGGGCACGCCCGAGATGTCGTCCAGGCGGGTGTACAGAGGGGACGCGGCGGCCAGGTGTGCGGCCCAGGCCGGGTCGGCGGCGGGGGTCTGGGCGCGCGAGAGGGCGGCGGCGGCGGCGGGGCAGGGGTACTGCGGCTCGAGGCTGTCGACGCCGGCGGCCTGGATCTCGAGCGGGATGGGCCCCGTCGACCGCGTCATGCCCGCGACCAGCATGCCGGCCACCTGGCTCGTGATGACGTTCTGGGTGACGCGGAACCGCGTGCGGGCGCGCCACGCGGGCGCGCCGGAGGCCCGGTCGGGCAGGAGGCCGAGGAGGGTGTGGTAGACGGCGTACAGGTCGTCGCCGTGCCGGGCCGAGTCGTCGAGCCCGCCCGTCGTGATCTGCGGGAACTGGCACGTGCCGACCCAGCCCGAGGGCACGAACGTGTTCAGCGGTGAGACGGCGCCCTGCCAGTAGGCCTGCGCCGAGGATCGGCTGCCGTCGGGCGAAAGGGGCTGGCCGTAGACGAAGAGGCCCTGGTCGTCACAGTTCCAGCGGTACGACTCGACCGGGAAGGCGTTGGACGAGTAGGGGGTTCGTTTGTGGTGGCGGTGGATCTAAGTAGGGGGTTCATGTTATTCTCGCGATACGTTTCTGCGTGAATCACTCTCAGGATGCCACCCGTCCAGGAGCCACAGGAAACCTACCACCTCGACGTACTTGAGCTCAAACTCGCTCGAAGGACGTACGTACTCCTGGGGCCGGACGTGCGGCATGTTGCACCAGTTGGACGTGCCGTCCTCCCAGTTGCCCGACGGCTCAAACACGAACTTGGGCACCCCCTCCCCGCCGACGACGGCGCTGAGGTTGTTGTACGGCGTCCGGCCCGATGCGTGCCAGCTTAGATCAACCGCCGCAGCAGCAGTAGCTACAGCCACCGCCGCTGGGGTAAGCAGCACGGCGCGGTGGGCCCACATGGTCGTCGTCGTTGTCGCGAGCAGCTGCTCATAGGGGAAGCCAAGGAGGAACAAGACGGTGGTGGCGACCAAGAGGAGCAGTAGCGCCGGCAGACCGTATGGTGAGAGGCTCCTCGTCGCCGAGCTGCCGAGTTCCCACCTGGGCATGGCTCGCCTTCCCTTCACGAGGGGGAAGGCATGCCTTTTATCCAGCCCGGCCTGCGACGGCGGCCCGGCTGAGACAACAGGCCGCAAGGGTCCACCGGTCCGCATTCAGCTTCCTGATTTTGTGATCTCGGTGCGTGGTACGTGGTGGTCTGGAGGGAACACAGGACGCACGTGCTTGCCAGATGCAAGTCTGGCGGGACTGTGGTGGTGCTTGACGGCGGGGCATGCATCTGCAGGTTGCGTCTGCCCCTGGTTCCTGGCGGTTTGCAGCACCCCACGTGCGCTGTTCCAGTCGTTTAGTGGCAAGTCGGCATTAGGGAGCGGCAAAGCGCTGGCATCATCAGACAAGGGCGCAAAACCCACCTGCCTTATACATTCAAGCAAGATTGCCGCGAGATATATGTTGCACATTTTGTTATTTTTTCCCCTCATGGACTGGGTCCCGAATTCATCAGGCACTCTGCCGCAATCTTTCCCATGTTTGCCGCGGACGAAAAGAGTGTTGCAACATTCGTAACAACTAGCCTCATGTTGCACAAGCTGCCTTTCTCTCGCCGAAATCCTCGGCCGTGATACAGGGCGTCAATTTATTGACGCCCATGTCTGACAGTCGATAATCGTCCCTTGGGGGCCGCCGCTTGTCCAGAGGCGCCCTGTGACGGAGCCAGGACACGGCCTTGTCCAGCCTCTGCAGCTCGCAGGCCTCGACGCGCTTCAGCACCTCGGTGCCGACCTTGCGGAACCGAACCTCCCACTTGATCCACTCGTCGATCCCCTGAAGATGCACGCCCAACGTGGGGATGGCAACCAGGTTGATGCTTGCGTTCCCATCGCCCCAGATGCTAGACCATACCTCCACCTGCCTCTGGGGCGACATGTCTGTGTCTGGTAGGTTGGGCTCCCGCAGGGCCCAGTCGACAGGCCCGAGCGTGTAGATGGCGGGGAGTGTCCAGCGCACCTTTCCAGGCGCGTACCGGCGCAGCAGCCCATCCAGTCTCTTGCGCTCGGCGTCGTCGGGCAGCTGCTCCCGGAAGCGCCTCAGGTGGCCAACCTCGAGGGGCCCGACCAGGATGCGATTGGGAAGTCGGTGCACAATGTTGAACCAGAATCGGCCTCCGTCGTAGGGGCGGAAGCGGTAGTGTTTCTCGTTCTTGCTAGAGAGCTTCAGCTCCGAGCGAGGCCGCCACCACAGTGGCTCGAGATAACGCGGAATGTCATTTACGAGGGCGGGGAATCGCTGGCGCGAGGGTGAGATATGTGGTGCCCGCGCCAGTCGCCAGTGTAGCTCCTTGCTGCCGTCCTCTGTTTCCTGGAATAAAGGGGTGAAGTGGACGTGGTTTAGAACGAACCCTTGCACCGAGCCAGGGGCAGCCGTGCCTTCTGTAGTCGGCGCTAGAGAAGGGAATAATCGGGTTATAAAGGGCTGCATATTATCGAGCGTGGTCACTATGGGCATTGGCGAGGCGACCCGTAACAGCTTCCGGATAAGGAGGCCTGCGACCGTTCTCAAGTGCTTCAGACGACCCCGGAACTCACGGGCAGCGGAGATAGATGATGCCCGCCGGGGTCTCGGCATCGAGAGCTCGGGGAGTTTGACAACGATGGTTCCGGCATTGGGCTGAAAGTCAAACAGGTCCGTCTGCTGTAATAGCCTCGAGGCCTCCGCCTGCTGGACCTCATACTTTGCCCGGCATCTCTTGGAGATTTTCAAGATGGCAGGCTTCTGTAACACAACTGGCAGGGTGTAGTTTTGCACTAGGTGCCTAAGTGCGTTGCGCTGGGTGAGCGTGGCATCTTTGTTGCTCTCATCCTCGAACCAGGGGACTCGGTTGTGGACGCAAGTGGCCACGAGGCGATCCTTGGAAAATTCCAGAAGTGGTCGATAAATCATGGCGCCCCCGTCCTCGACAGGACACGGGGCGATGTTGAGCGGAGCGTGGCGGGAATGCATACCCAGGCGGCGACCTGGCGTAAAGTCGAGCGAGGCCACCCCGAGGGGATCGGAGTCGCCACTTGCCCCATCGCGCAGCTCTCGCTCAAGCTCTTCCCAGTTCAGAGCCATCTCCGACTTGAGGGCGTCCCGGATCCCCGCCCGCTCGTTGGACAGCATTGTCATGCGGTACATGGGGTTGCTGGAGAGCTGGTCGTCGATGAAGCCGCTCGCGTGCGAGCCAAAGATGCTGTCGATGTGAGGCATGTCCCCAGCCGGCGGGATGCCCATGAGCCCGCGGGGGCTGGGGTAGTTGAGCAGGCGCATCAGCACCGTCTCGTACTGGTCGTCCTCGTGGTGGGCGAGGAACATGGAGACGGCGCCGCGGATCTGCATGCGACGCGCGAAGATCTGGAAGCGCTGCTCGCGGGCCACGGTCTCGAAGTTGGGCAGTTCGTGGAGCATCTCGCGCGCCTCCTTGGCAGACGGGAAGTGGCCCGGCTTCCTCAGGAGCTTCCTCCACTGGATCCGGCTCGGCTCGGCGATCCGGAAGGTTGGGTACTTCCTCAGCAGAGCCGACACCCTCGCAGCCTCTTGGGCGCTGCCTTCGCGGTAGCCATGGTCGATGGTGACGGCGATGAAGTAGTCGACAGGGTTGTCGGCTACGCGCCAGCCGTCAAAGCTACGGTATTGGCGGAGGGTCTGGTTGCACAAGTAGGCCAGAGCCATGGAATCGACGCCGCCGCTTATGGCTAGAGCTATGGCGGGGGGTCAGCCATGAGCCGGCGGGTATTCTGATGGGCACAGCAGCTCCGGGATCAGGCCTTACCAACAGGGGCCGGGCGGTTCTTGGCCTTGGCCGACACCGGGTTCGGGAAGCGGGGACGGCAGATGGCGTCAACCGCCTCCTTGAACTCGGCGACGCCAATGGGCCGGGCACCCGTGAGGACAGGTGGTATTCCCCGCATTCCATCCTACGCTTATGGTGTCTCGCGCAATGGGTGTTGGAGCTGGGGGTTTTCTTGATATCTTGATGTGGTGCTGAAGCGCAGACCCCAGGTGCGGATCCAATCAGCTCATGACGAGTGGGGCCAGTTGGCATCTGTCGTCACAGTCGGGAAGGAGAGAAGGTTTCCGAGTACCTATCTCACACAGACTGAAGCTTTCTTTCTCGATAGATGCTGTTGCAGTGGCCAATTCCATGCTTCCAGATCTACCCGAGGCGCATGATCTACAGGCATCCCTCCCGACCTGTCCGACTGCCCGGCCGTCTCGTATTAAAGCCGTCGGAGATGGGAAATGCTAGGCCGAGCTCGGCGGCCCCACTCGAGAATATTTGGGATGCGCCCGCTTCTCGATCCCACTTTGACGCAAATCTTGCTGTCGACACAACGCTCGCCATCTACGTCTCGAGGGGAGCCAGCTGAAGATCTCGACTTCAAAACCATGCTTCCCGCGCGCCGGTAACAAAGCTACAGGCCCCGGCCACACTCGAGCGACCTCAAGAATCCCCGACGGTCCCGTCCCGAGCCCTTTCCCCTTGAGCCCCCCCCTCTTCGCGACCATGTCTGCCCCCCAGCCGAACACGCAGTTTACGACGGCCCTCCTCGCCGGCGCGCTGGCCGGTACCACGGTCGACCTCTCGCTCTTCCCGCTCGACACGCTCAAGACGCGCCTGCAGTCCTCGGGCGGCTTCTTCCCCTCGGGCGGCTTCCGGGGTATCTACCGGGGCGTGGGCTCCGCCGTCGTCGGGTCCGCGCCCGGCGCCGCACTCTTCTTCGTCACGTACGAGGGCTTCAAGGACGCCCTCTCCCACCCCTCTTCCTCGTCTCTACTGCTCTCCACCACACTCGCAGGAGGAGGAGGTGGGGGTGGAGGTGAGGAGGCGTTTACCCCGCCGCCGGCCGCCGTCACGCACATGGTGGCCGCGTCGCTAGGCGAGGTGGCGGCCTGTTCGGTGCGCGTGCCAACCGAGGTCGTCAAGCAGCGCGCGCAGGCCGGCCAGCACGGCGGGAGCTCGGCCGCGGCGCTGATCGACATCCTGTCGCTGCGGTCCGGCCCCCGCGGCTTTGCGGGCGTGTGGCGCGAGCTGTACCGCGGCTGGGGCATCACCGTGTTCCGTGAGGTGCCCTTCACCGTCATCCAGTTCCCGCTGTGGGAGGCGCTCAAGGCATGGGGCCGGAGCAGGCGCGGCGTCGATGGTGGTGGCGGTGGCGGTGGCGGTTCTGGGGGCGGCGACGTCGGCGCCGCCGAGAGCGCCCTGTACGGCAGCCTGAGCGGCGCCGTCGCGGCGGGCGTCACGACGCCGCTCGACGTGCTCAAGACGCGCGTCATGCTGAGCAGGGAGCGCGAGTCGGTGCTGTCCATCGCCAAGAGCATCCTGCGCGACCACGGCATAAGACCCTTCTTCGCCGGCATCGGCCCCAGGGTCGCCTGGATCAGCGCCGGCGGCGCAATCTTCCTTGGCAGCTACCAGTGGGCTGTCAACACTCTCGCTTGAGGGGCCATGATATTGAACGACCCATCAACCAGGCGACGACCTTCGCTGGGGAGCCGGCATCGTAACACATGCCTTTCCACAAAGATATCCAGCGAGGCTTCACTGTAACCATAAGCTACCGGGGCAGTTTGGTTGTATGATAGACGAGTGGGACATGGACATATATATATAGATGATGATAGCACGCACGAACGACGATTCTAAGCAATTAGGGTTTGATTTATCAGGAATTGTATGGTATTCCAAGGGTGATATTATAAACGAGCATCTCTTCACGTGGCTTATCCCAGCCCATGTGGTCTATTCGCACACATTACCTTGTCTTCAACCACAGGGCAAGTCCAAGTTTATCCCAGCGATCAATCAATGCTATAGAGCTTCTCCCTCTCATAGGACAAGGACATATACTTCCTTCGGGGATCGCCCTGCCCGAAGGGGTCGTCCTTCCCACAGCGAATCTCATAGACCCTCGACCTCAAAAAGGACACGCGGGGGTCGCCCTCCCCAAAGAGATTGTCCTTCCCAGAGATATCGTCCTTCCCAGAGAGATCATCCTTCCCAGAGAGATCGTCCTATCGACCAGCCACCGGGAAGCTTCTGGAACTCAGCAGGACGCCCTTAACCCTCCTGATGTTTTCCTTGACAGCCTTGACCTCGTCGTCGGGCTCGCGCCTGCCCGCGCTCCCGTAAAGGGTGTAGCCGGCGCCGAACTGGGTCGGGTAGGGGCGCGACATGTGGTCGAGGTCGTCCTTGAACACGTCCAGCGCCGCTTTGATGGCGTCGTAGCCCTCGCTCTGCGCGGCGATGCCCATGCTGACCTCACGGAGCGACGCGGCTAGGCCCGAGACGCGGAGCGCCTGGGCGGCGACCACGTCGGCCGCGTCCTGCCGCGGCGCCGGCGTCAGGGGCGGCGTGGCGGTCTGGACGCCGATGTCGCGGTGGAATACCTCGGTCGGGTCGCCGCAGCTGCTGGCCGCGTCGTCGCCCGGCTGCTGCTGCTGCTGCATGGCCGTCGCTGTGGTGGCGGTCTTGGTGGCGGCCGGGATCTCCGAGACCATCTCCTCGAGCTTGGACACGAGCGAGCCGAGCCCCCGGGAGGCCTGCTCTTGCAGCTCGACGCGGGCGTCGGTCAGCGACGAGACCATGGGCGTCAGCACGTGCTGCGACGCGCCGTAGACGAGTGTCGCGAAGCCGGCGAGGGCCGAGGCCGTCTGCAGGAAGCCCGAGGCCGTGACGAGGGGCGGGGCGCGCTCGCGTCGGGTCAGGAATTCGGGGTACGTCACGATGGGGGCGTGGTCTGGCACCGGCTCGGATTCTAGGGTCAGATGCGAGAGTTGGGTTATGGGCGGCGTCTCGAGGTCCCGGACGGTCGCGGAGGCGGGCTCTGGAACTGGGAGTTGGGATGTTGCCACATCCTTGTCCTGGCTGGCCGTGGCGGTGGGTGCTACTGCTTCTTGGGGCGCGTCTGTCTTGATGGGGTGTTAGATGGAACCGCATCTCATGGAATTGTCTGTAGGTACTTACTGTCTCAGAGCTGCCAGACGCGACGGCTTTGGCATCTTCTTCAAGGAGCGCGTTGATGTCGGTTTCGCTGATGCCCTTGGTCTTGAGAAATATGACCTTTTCCTCTCTGGATTCCCGACGCACCTCGTCGGTCTGGAGGAAGCGCCTCGCGACGTCTAATGTCGACTGCGATTCTGGCTGGACGTCATCTTGAGCCGGGGATCCTTCCGGCTCTGGAACCAGGACGGGGCCGTTTTCTTTCTTATCCGAGTCGCTCATGTCTGAGTAGATCTGGGCGCTGTGTCGGCCCAGCTCACATTCTCAGACGATGGGTGTGAGGTGAATCCAGCTGGGGATTGATCACAACTTGTCGCAGCTTGATAGACGGAACTGGACCGCTTCCTCCAAGCGGACCTCGGCAGGCGGCCTGCCTGTGCCTGGCAGCAGACGATCCACCCACCCGCGCTGGTGTGGGTCGGATGGACTCTGGCCTTACTTTTCAGGCCCAGGTCTTCTGCCGCCTTGTCGGTCGTGTTTCGCAAGGCTGTCCGGACGGGCTCAGGACGGTGAACCCTGATTGATGTACCCGTTATTTGCTTGCTCGTATTTTCTCAGAAACGCCGCATTTGTTTGGCTGTTTTTATTGCTCGGAAGTCGTTTGGACTCAGGTTTGGTGGCCAAGTTAAACACGTACTGCCGATCGCGTCCTCACTTTTTTGGCCCCTTGATCAAAGCAGAAAAGGGGGCGCCAACCATTGCGACGCCAAACAATCACCACCAACCAGGTTACCAGACGCAAAGCAGATCCGAGGATTTAGTTTACATCGACAAAAGGCCCAGGTCATTAATAACGTCTTTCCGAAGAAGGGTTCGGGCCGCAAACACGGACAAGGTGGTGGCCACATTGATGCTGGCAAAGTCCTTATCGGGTTGATTCCAGCCAGCCATCAATTCCAGCTCGCACGCGGTTGTCGCACACGACCAGACCAGACCGCGGCTTGACCAGGGTGCGACAACAGCCACCACCAACTGGCATTTGTTGTGACAAGAGGACAGGATAAGAAGTAAGTTGGACCGACTACCTACTAGTTGTTTATTTGTCCTTCCATTCTTGGGCGTCTCGGCATTGTATCGCACAACACACCATGCACCACCAACGCACTCCCTTCCCCGCCCCCTTCCATCATCACGCTCCATCTTTCAGATGAGCCGTGCTGTGTCGCCTGTGTAGCTCCCACCTCTACCTCTCTATAGCCCATGCTCGAGAGAAGGATCAAATAGTCGCGCATTGGAGTAAGCCAGCACAGGCGTATACCTATATACCCACCTAGACCGGAGCACAGGCTGTGTGGCAAGCGCCCGCGGATGGACAGGAAGCGAGTCGGCCGGCAAAACACGCGCGCCTCGGAAAGCGTCATCGCCAAGGACCAACGATTGGGCTTCGTGTGATCCCGAGCTCGATTGGACCGAGACAGCGCCAGCGAGCAGCCTCCACTGAAGCTGCCTCCACTGTTGTCGGGGTGTGCATGCATGTGCAGCTGGGGACGCCAGAGCCTCGACAGGACGGGACAGGGCAACCTCAACGGCAGCAACGGACGCTTGGGGCGTGAGGCGTGCGTGGTGGTGTGGCTGTCCGTCACTCGTCGCCCGTCGCTCGAGCAATCCGCGAAAGCGGCCAACCCAAAGGCCTAAAGGCCTCTGGGTCCTGGTGGCCGATCCGAAATTTGTCTTGGGCGAACCACAAGCAGTCCCAGTTCCCAGTCCCCCAGCCCTTGCCGCCGAGATAGGACAGACGCGGCCAAATTTGGATTGGGCGATTGGAACGCCCTCATGCCTGCTCACGCCCAGCTCACCGGACCTCAACTCCTGCTTCCTGCGCCGCCCGCCTCCCGACGCCCCCATTGGGCTGACCAGGACGCTGCTCACCCCACATCACCTCGGAGGCTTTGTCGTGTCTGTCTCACGGGCTTTGGGCAACCTTCGGTCTGGACAAGCTTAGTTTGACCCTCGCCGAACGGGCCAACCACCCCTCGTCATCACATCCTCCTCCTCCTCAGATATTGACACCTTGGAATTTCACCGCTTCCCATCCCGCTTCAATCCGCCACCCTGACTCATACCTATACCTACAACCCTACCTATCTACCTACCCATCTACCTACAAACCCACAAATTACGCTTGCCTCACCTGGTCGAGGTCACAATCCCCGACACCAAATCTCGAAACGCAGCTTCAATATCACAGGCCGACATGTCTTCCCGACCACGTCGCTCGGCCGCCCAAAGGGCTTCGGCGGCCATAACTGACCTAGCAGCCGACAGGGAATCCACCGGCACCTACGGCCGCACTAGACGCTCTCTAGATAACAGGGACGCGCCCTCGAGGGACCGTGACCGGTCCATGGATCGTCCGTCGTCGTCCGCCTCGGCGGACTCCCATCACGTGCCCGCCACGGGCAAGGGTTTAAAGTCACGGCAGTCCACCCACGGGTCACCCACCACTACTCGCAATGAAATCTCTGTTAAGACCCGCGGCGCACCCAGTGAGGCGGCAAGCGGCAAGAGGTCTACGCGCGGGAATAGGAAACGCTACGTAGAGTCTGAAAGCGACGAGGAGGAGGATGAGGACGAGGAGCAGGGCGTCATCCGCGTTAACAGCGCCCGGGATGCCGATGCTGATGCCGACGCCGACGACGACGATGAGATGGACATGGGCGATGAGGACGCTGATGGCGACCCGGACGATATGGACATCGACGCCGAGGGCGAAGAAGACGAAGAGGATGCTGAGGGCGAGCCCGATGACGACATGGGCGAGTCCATCGTGGTTAACAAGCCGCCCAGCAGGGATACGAGATCGAGGGCACCCGCCTCACGCAAGCCGGCCGCGGCGCCGTCCAGGAAGCCGCCGGCCCGCAAAGCGGCGGCTGCTGCTGCTGCCGCCGCCGCCGCCGCTAACGACGACGATGACGACGAGTTAAGCGAGCTGGATAGTGATGTCGGCGACCCCGACGAGACAATGCTTACGATGGCCGACGGGCTTGGTGATGAGGATGCCGACGGCGACCCAGACGACGACGTTGACGCCGAGGGTGAGGAGATCGAAGTCGCGACCAAGGCAGCCGACGAGGATGACGAGGATGACGACGAGGAGCTAGGCAGCGACGCAGGTAGCCGGGAGGAGACGCCGGATTTCACTAAGATGACCAAGCGCCAACGCGCCCGTTTTGAGGACGAGCCGCAGGAGTACATGAAGCTATCGGATGGTGAGTACCGCAACTGCAGCTGTTCCTTTTCTCTGTCTGGCTTCTTTTTTCTTCTTTTTTTTCTTCTTTTTTTTCTTCTTTTTTTTTTATAAAGCTTGCATCAAACCGCTAACCAACTTCAAACGTTCCCTTTCTTTCAGAGGTCCAAGTCAAGAAGGTGTTTACGGCCGAGGAGCTCAGCATGAGACGCTCCGAGATGGCGCGTCGGCGGCGTAACCTCAGTGACAAGCGAAACGAGGAAGTCAAGGCAAGTAGCACGTGGGGAGTCTTCATCTGGCCTGACATTTTTCTTCTCTTCATTGGTCCTAACAACACTTTTGAAATCCGAAATACAGATGGAAACAATCAACAAACTACTCAAAAAGCAGCCTAGCAAGGCAAGCCGGCGGGCGGCCGCGGCCGCAGAGAACGAGGGCGAGGACGGCGAGGGAGGCCCGCGGGCCAACCCCCTGTTCGTCCGATGGGTCAGCAACAAGGACGGTTGTCACGTTTCTGTGCCCGTCGAGATTGTCGACAGCCCGGTCGGGAATGTTTTCACGGCCGGGACGGGACGAAAGATGGTCCAGGAGGTCTGAGTTTTGGGGGGCAATAATACATCGCGGAAATGTGGTTGCGTGTAATGCGTGGAGCTCTCACGAGCTAGAGGGGGGGCTGAGGTGCCATGGACGAACTGGTACCTCTAGACCACAAGATGTTTTGTTTCGGGTGGGCTTCTGTCCGAGCTTACGCTACCCTCTGTGTGCGATTCTGGCTCGGCGGTGGCGTCTCTCGTCTTCTCTCCCGCATGGTTTTCGGCATGTTTTTCCTTTGATTGTCCCTTTCATTTATGTTTCCAGCACTGAGGGAGGCTTTATAGATCTTGCTTTGGTGCAGACGTTTAGGGAATCAAAGTTAGCCAGACACCCGCTTCCCCACGTCTCCGATAATGTTTGGAATGCTGTGACCCAGACGGCTTCTCGACACCCTGCAGATTCGCTTCTCGAGCTGACAAGTCGACGGCCAATTGGGCGTGCAGACGGTGCGCTCGGCGGTCCGCCTTTTCAATTTATTTAGTGGTTCTACCGACATATTCGGTTTGGTGCAGGTCCTTTTTTGCGAAGCTGAGTGGAGGCCAAGCATCCAAGGCACTCGTCCCGATCGTCGACTGATGCATCCATGGTGCCAATGGTGGCCAGCTTGGCCAAGCCCGACGTGCATGGTGGGGACATGTCACTAGGGAGCCCGTACTTTGGTGCTGTGGACCCATCTAATTGCCAGTCACCCAGTGAGTGTCTGTCACCCTCGAGGCCTTCGCCGTGCCCACACTCTTTGCACGAACCACCCGTGCACGTACCTACATACTAGTACATGTACATCCAGTGTTGGATGCAACCTACAGCATGCGGCCGACACTTGCGGTGTACGCTCAGTGTCAAGTGACAGACGTGCAGGCCTACACAGTAATCCCATCCCATTCACTGCAACTGCAGTAACTGCATCCTGAGAGTATTGAGGTCGTCCTCTATTAGCCGCTGCTTGGCCTCCATCATCAGCATCAACAGAAACAGGACGAAGCCCCTTGCCACTATCCTGGGCACCAAGCCTTTTGAAATACTGGGACATCCCAGGTCGAAAAATAGACAGATAGAGTTGCTCATGCCGGCACCCGATCTGGCTGTCCCCTGTTTGCTCACGATTTTCGTTGTAGGTGGCCTGTCGTGTGGCCCCTCAGCCGACCACCACCCTGGCTAGCTCCGCATATGTGTCTCTGGGTCTCCCCTCGGCCCCATTTATTGGTGTGCCTGTCCTACTTCCCCGCACAATGGACAGACCTGTCAGTTGTGAAAGCCCGGCCAAAAAGCCAGAAAAAAAAAAAGAAGGTGGACTGACTAGGAGGCAGGAAGCTTTCTTTCATCGGGCCGGCTTGGTTACTCCTGTCCGTTCTGAGTCAACTAGCGCCTACGCTTGCTTCGCCTCAAAAGCAGCCTCGCAGCCTTTTTGATTGTTCTGTCCCCGCCCTGTCACGTCGCGTGCTTGACTCCGGACCGGCTCGTGAGTCGTATAAGGAGAGCAATAAAAAGAAAAGAGCAGAGAAAAGAGCGCCGTTGAAAGTTGGAGAAGGACGCCCAACGCCAGAGAGGGCCCGCAGAAAACATGATCTTCTCAGGGCTGTACAAGAAGTCAAGGTCAAAACACCAGCCGCCCCTGGTCGTGCCCGCCGCCCAGCCCTCGCAGTACGATGCCGACCTCGTCAGCAGGGACAAGACCAAGCAGAAGGAGGCCGTGAAGAGATATCTGGCCGAAAAAGTTCGTAACGACTGGTCCTTCCAGTGGCCGCCAGCCGTCGCCGCCCCGCCAGCCTGCACCGCCGTCGCCGCCGAGGCAGCCCCCGCTCCGCCCGCCGAGGCAGCAGCCCCAGCGACCGTCGTCCCACCGCCGCTGCCGTCGGTCGAGGGCGAGGTGCTGCTGGCCTCGGACGTCGCCGACCCCGACCAGATCCCCGTCAGCGACCAGCTCTCGAGCGCAGAAACCGCCATACCCGCAGCGGCGACGACCGCCCCCGCCGCCAACGAAGCGCCGCCGGCGCTGGTGGACGCGGCCGCCGGGTCCGCGGACCCCAGGGCCGACGAGCCCATCGACTCGGGCGCCGAGGCCGACTCGGACAGCGAGTCGGTCTATAGCGTCGTCTCGGAGGACCCGCTCCGCTACCGGCCGCGCGCCGAGTGGACGTCGGACCTGTCGGACGATGACGGGGCGCGCGGGGGGCCGACCGTGTCGCCCTCGCCCTTCCGCTTCGACACGCCCGACTCGGTCGGCCCCGTCATCCAGGCCTCGGCCCAGGCGCGCCGCGCCAAGCGCCGCAGGGCGACGCGCGACGAGGCGTCGTGGAACGAGGGCCTGGCCTGCTTCACGGCCCGCCGCGACGCCTGGACCGGCGCCCGCACCGTCCGCCTCAAGCCCAGGCCGCCCGTATCGCCCCGCTCGCCCGCCTCGCCTCGCCGCAGCCTCTGGCGCTTCCGCTCCAGGGACGGCGGCGGCGGCCACGGCCACAACGACGCCGTCGTGCTGTCCTCGCCCACGGCCACCACGGCCACGTCCCCGGGCACGGCCACGGCCTCGACGCTGCCCCTGTCGCCCACCTCGCCCACCTCCTCGGCCCTCCCGCACAACGCCCTACACCTCCAGCACATCGCCGGCGGGGTCGACACCATCACTCCACCCGCCTCGGACGGCGACTCGCATACATCCTCAAAAATCCCCTACCGCCGCTTTTGCAGCACCGGGGGGCGCACCATCACAAGTAACGGCGACGGCGGTGGCGGCGGCAGCAGGACCTGCCACCGTGGCCACCACGTCCCCCCTCGCGTCCACCTACCCGGTCGAGACGGTGGTGCCGATCCCGGCGCCGCTCCTCCCGCCCGCCAACGCCATGCGCGCGTCCATCTCGCCGGCCATCTACCTGTCCATCTACGACAAGGTCGTGTCGCACTCGCTGCAGCCGTCGTGCCCCATCAACCTGGTCGACATGATGCGCAGCTGCGTCGCGGGTTGGAAGCGCGACGGCGAGTGGCCGCCCCGCCCGTCGGCCGCCGCGGGCCCGCCTGTCATGGACTTTGTGTTGACGGCCGCCGTGGCCGCGGGCGGCGGGCCCTTCATATCCTCGGCCGCGTCGGCCGCCGCCGCCGTCAGGAGCAGGCGCCGCCGCGAGCGCGAGGAGGAGGAGCTGGCCGCCGCCGCACGACGCAGGCGGGAGCGCAGAGACAGCGCGGCGGCGGCGGGGGCGGCGGGAGGAGGAGGTGGTGGTGGTGGCCCGCGGCGCTTGAGCTTCGCGGGGCTCATCGGCCGCGTCAGCAGCAACGACGGCGGCAGCGGCGGCGGCGAGGAAGGGAGCTCGCCGTCGTCGCCCAAGGGCATCCGCAAGAGCATCCAGCGGGTCCTAGGGCTAGGCCAGCACGGGCACGGGCATGGGCACTCACAGTCTGTGGGCTCAGTGGGGAGTCCGCCACCGCCGCAGTGAGGGGGCTTTGGGTTCGGTATTCTTGTTCTTCTTTTTCATGATTCCTTTTCTGTCTGTCGACATACGTCACACATGACCCCATGACAGCCCCTCCGTTCCGAAGGCAATAATGATGTTGCTAGATACCCGGGTGACAAAATCTCTTTTCTCTTCCTAATAATTTGTATGGTCTGTTGGACCTGGGCGGGGTGATCCAGGCTGGGCCCTTGCTTGTGGTGCTGGATGTTGTAGATCTCTGGGGTGATCTTCATGTCACACTACTCTGTCTCGCGTTTTGGACTACATGTAGTTTGGCACATCTTGATCGTTTGGACACCTGATAAGGTTTTTTGCAAGGCCTGTCATGTCGACTGCCCATCTTGAGGCTGTTATCATGTGATGGATAGTATGGGCAGATGCTAGGGATGGGCGGGAGCGGACGGAGCGGAGCGGAGTGTAGGGGCGCTTTCTAGCTTTGTATTTTGGTTCCATTTTTGTTTTCTTCTTGGTTAGGTGTAATGAACCAGCAGCAATGACAGCGAACTAAACATAATGTTATCACGAACAGTCACACGGGCGGATCCATATGTGTCTGCGTGCGTGCATGTCTTTTGTGTGTGTATGTGCGTATTGGCCTGTGGTCGTCGGCTGCCACGTGCACGCGCCAACAGCGAGTGAAGCCTCGCCGCCGACTAATGCAACAGCCCGACTAGAGCACATCGGCTACTGGCTTTTCTTGGTGTGCTGGGGATGGATGTGACACAAGGCCCCGGCATTCGGCCGTCCGGGAGGGAAAGAAGCGAGAGAGCGCGTCCCGCCAGGTGAGGTGGGTGCAAATAGCGGTATAGACCATCGCTCGCTTCTGGTGCGGGGATGGGTTTGGTTTGTAACCTATCTGTTCTTGGTTCTGCCAGGGGTGGTCTTGGATCCAACCAAACATGTTACCTTTTCGCCACTACATGAATGACATGGTTCCCGAGAGCCAATTCCATATGTTCCTTCCAGCTGTTTTTGTTTCCTCTGTTTTTGCAATCTTTTCGTGTTCGCTTAAGCAACTCCCAGCCCTAGATACCCAACTTGTCCGCCCTGCCGGCCCGCATTTATGACGCATCCATCCCCCCTCGGCCCTCGCCCTCGCGCGGGTCCGGCACCGGCGTCCGCCCGCGCTTGCGCTTCCCCGTCGGGCCGCAGCCGTTGACCATGGCGGGCGGTGGCGGCGGCGGCGGCGGCGGCGGCGGCGGTGGTGGCGCGGTAGCCGCAGCGTCGGCGGCATCAGCGGCTTCGTAGGATCCCGGGGCGGGCCCGTACTCCCTGTCGATGGCGTCGAGCAGCTGGGCCAGCGGGACGTGGACGGGGTCGGCGTCGGCGGCGTCGGCGATGGCGGGGCCGTGCAGGTACGAGAGCGACAGGGGGAGGCGGCACTGCGGGTCGCCGGCGACGGCGGCGCGCACGTCGAGCCCCTGCACCAGGGTGACGGGGCCCCAGCCCTCGGTGTGCTCCGTCTTGTGGATGGCGTCGAGCCAGACGCCGACGGGCGGCAGGCCGTCGAGCATCAGCTGGCTGCGCGGCCGGTACTCGACTATTATCGAGACGACGCAGCGGATGTGGCCGTTGCTCTTTTCGATGTAGTCTAGATGGTGAGTGGGGGTTTTTCGTGTGAGCTTCTGGGCTGACTTGACTGCCTCTAACGGGGGGCAAGGGAAGCAAAAGTGAACGAGATGGCAAGAGAGAAAAAAAAAAAAAAAAGAAGACAAACATACCTCTCGCTCTTCGGGCCGAAAAGCGATCGTTCGAGAAGCTGATCTCGACAACGATGCCCGGGAAGTAGTGGTCGTTATCGTTGCTGCCGTCCGACACGTACCCGATGCCGGCGTCCGGGCACGTCTCCTCGACAACGAACCCGCCGTCTCCCGTGTCGGCGCCGATGAACCGGATGGCCGTCTCGGACTGCTCCCACAGGTTGTCCGACTCGGCCATGCCCAGCACCTCCTCGAGGCGGGCGAACAGCAGCCGCGTGACGGCCAGGCCCAGGCGGCCGTGCAGCGGGCCGGGCCGGCGGATGGTGAGCGTCGGCGCGGGGCTGAGGAAGTAGTCGAGCGCGACCGTGTTCTCGACAAAGGCGCCCAGCTCCTCGAGCGTCAGCGCCAGGGGCGGCTGCAGCTGCCCGACGGCGTCCTCGAGGTCCCAGACCAGGAGCCGCCGGCGCGACTCGGCCGCCTCGACCGCAGCAGCCGCCGCCGCTACAACCCCTGTCCCTGTCCCTGCTGCAGCCGCGGCCGCCGCCTCTACCGCGAAGCCCGCGGCCGCCGCCTCGGCCGCCGCGTGCCGGCGCCGCTGCTGGGCCAGGCGCGCCGCCAGTCGGTCGTTCTCGCTGGGCGGCCAGAGCAGCTCGTGCAGGGCGAACCACTGGTCGGGCGATAAGGGGAAGTTGAGGCGCTCGAGGTCCTCCGGGTCGATGATGGCGAGTGCCGACTCCCCGGCCGTCGTCGTCGGTGGCGCTGCTACTGCTCCTGCCGCCGTCCTCGCCACGGCGATGCGGTCTTGGCCTCGCTGTATGGCGATGAATGCGCACAGAACGTCCAGGGCGCTCCTGACGGACGCAAAGGTGTCCTGGTCCTCCAAGGGCGGTGTTGGCATGCCTGCCGACATGGCGTCTGTAATGTCCATCGAATCCATGGCAGGGATGTGAGGCGCAACTTGGTGTTGGAGCGACTTGACACCAGCGGGCAAAAAAGAGACGTGGGAGGGAACGGGGGCCTCAAATAAGTAGGTGCTGTTGTATTGGTGGTATGGGGGTACCTAGCTGAGGGGCTCATGCACAAGGTTGTTGGTGATGGATGGCGTCCTTTTTACATACAGACAGCGCCGCTCACCTGGGTTTAGGCAGGCGACTGACAATGTGGCGCGCCTCCAGACCATCATCCATTCCGGCCCGGCTGCTAACTGTGCTGCCCATCCCTTGGCCCCCCTTCACTTGTTCTTGCCGGCCTATTCCTCGTTTGGTGCTGGACGCGAGCCTGGCCAAAACCACCATGCCTCCCTTGCATTAAATAGCCCGACCAGTTGCTCACCAACGCGCCCCAAAATAAAAAGGAAAAAAAAAGAGAAGAAAAGCCAATCACTATCTGCTCGCTCGGCACCGACTCTCCCTTTTTCGGACTCCTCGCCCATTGGATTGGGACTGATAAAAACGCGCGCCGGGGTCCCTGGTCCTGGCAATCATCTTGGCAAGCCGGTCGCTCGACGCCTCGCCCAGGATCGGGACACGGCTTCCGCGCGCCTCTTGTGCAAAAATAGAGTGGAAAGACGTTGATCCAGACCTCAGATGGCTGGGGTCGTCTGCATCTTCGTGGAGCCCGGGGGAGCTGAATGGGCGGCTTTTCGGGGCCAGCCCAGGCTCGCCTACATACTGCATGTCCATTTTGCATGCCAATTTAGACCTTTAATCGCTCACTCGCAGACTCCCACTTCAGAGCCTAGAGGATTGGCTCAATGGGAGTTGACAAAGGTTTGGTAAGGTGAGACTCGTCAAAAGTCCAAAGCACATCATAAATTGAGAGAGCACATGCCATCACGGACATTGAGTTGTCTCACCTGGGGGCGACCACGCCCGCTGGCCACTGTGCCTCCTGCCCTGCCCCATGCGCTGATGACCTAACAGAATAGCTGTGATCCACACGTGGAGTTTCGAGTGGCCAGCAGCAATCCAAGCTTTGCTTTGGTGTGTACAACCGCCTGGCCAAGCTGTGCCCGCGATCGGGAGCTCCATTATGTTTCCATGACCAACGTATTTGTACTGGCTTCTCTGTTCAACAGCCACCGCTCGTGTATTTACCTACTTATAGGCCATAAGAACCGCCAGCCGAGACGTCGACTTGATCCTCGACTCTGCAACTGCCCCAACCCCTTCCCCTGATGTCTCCGCCTGACAGAAAAGGCGCACGCGATCGTCACCATTCCGGCCCTGGCCTTCGTCGGGAATCCCTCCTCTGCCCCCACTCCTCCTCCTGCCTCGGTCGAGACCTCAGCCATAGCTGAACGAACGAACGGAGCACCCGCAGGAGACGCAGCCCGAGGAAGAGGAGGGAGTAGCGCCCCGCTAAGGCGAGACCTCGACCGCTCGGACCCCCGCCGCCGCCTCCACCACGGCGCCGCCTCGGTGGAAGACGAGTACGAGCTTGAGGAGCTCTCGCCCCAGCCGCCCATCAGCGACCACCCTCCCGAGACAGAGAAGAGAGCGGCCAAGCGACGGTGGCTGCAGGAGCAGGACGACATGAAGTTCTCCCACAGCATCCAGTTCAATGCCGTACCCGACTGGAGCAGCCACTACATAGCCTACAGTAATCTGAAGAAGCTGTATGACATGATGCCAACCCCCCCGCTTCCGTGTAGGCGGCACCGTCCGGCACGCTACTAACACGTGCGCTTTTCGCTGCCAACCACCAGAATCTACCAGCTCGAGAAGACCATCAACCACTCGCTCGCCACCGATGCCGAGTCGAGGCCCCTCATCCCCGGCGACGAGGATGCCGAGAAGGTGTTTGCCCGGGCCCTAGACGTGGAGCTGGAGAAGATTGCGTCCTTCTACCAGGTCAAGGAGCAGGAGCTCGTCGACGAAGTCAACCTCCTCCTGAGGGACATTGGAGACTCGGAAAGCGAAGGCGACGACAGGCATGGCGGCACCCTGCGCACACAGGCGCCAGAACGATCCCTCTCTACGCTGGTGGACGCCCGCCGCAGCAGCATGATGAGCCGCGGGTCGACCGAGGGCGGCGACGACGACGACAGCGACGAGGAGGAGGAGACGACCGCCCTGGCGCGCAAGCGGCGGTCGAGCGTCGGCACCTCGCGCCGAGGCGGGCGGGCAACCGACATGGCGGCGTCCACCGAGCTGTCGCGCTCGGGTCGGCGGCTTAGCACCACGTACGACGACTACGCCGAGCAGGCGGCCCTCTACTCGACCGACATCATGCTCAAGCGTCGCATAGTGGCGCTGTACGTGCAGCTGTGCGAGCTCAAGTCGTACGTGCAGCTCAACAAGACGGGCTTCCGCAAGGTGCTCAAGAAGTTCGACAAGATATGCGATCGCCAGCTGCGCCAAAAGTACATGGAGTCCACCGTCGAGCCCGCACCGCCCTTCCGCCCGGAGGCGACCAAGCTGATCGAAGGTCACGTCGCCACTATGGAGCGCGCCTACGCCGACCGTGTCGCCCAGGGCGATCTCGCCGTCGCCCGCCGCGACCTGCGCTCGCACCTCCGCGAGCACGTCGTCTGGGAGCGCAACACGGTCTGGCGTGACATGATCGGCATGGAGCGGCGCGCCGAGGCCGCCAGCCTGGGCCGCGCCCTGCTCGGCCGTGACGTCGCCATTGGTGCTGCCCGCCTGCAGGGCGACGAGGAGGCCGCGATTCCCACTAGGGAGATTTCCACTCCGCTAGGCCGCTTCAGGTGCCCAGTCTGGCTGTTCAGTACCGCCATGCTCAACCTGATTGTCATCATAGCCATCTTTACCGCGTTGCTCGTCGTCCCAACAATGGATAGCCCCGAGCAGCAGAACTGCCTGGCGGTGCTGGTGTTTGCCAGCTTGATGTGGGCAACCGAGGTATGTGGCCAGTATCAAGCAGCCTCTTGTATGGCCCAGGTCTTTATGGCCTAGGTAATCTTAAGTCTAACGCATCCTACAGGCCATCCCTCTCTTTGTCACCTCCCTGATCATACCGTTTCTCTGCATCGTCCTGAGGGTGGTCCGAACCGACGATCCGGAGCATAGGAGGCTCAGCTCGAAGGAGGCGACAGCGTACGTCTTTTCGGCAATGTGGACGCCCGTCATCATGCTCCTGCTTGGTGGCTTCACCCTCGCGGCGGCGCTGTCCAAGTGCAAAATCGACAAGAGCCTCGCCACCTTTGTGCTCAGCAAGGCCGGCACCCAGCCGCGGACCGTGCTCCTGGCCAACATGCTGGTCGCCTCCTTTGCGAGCATGCTGATCTCCAACGTCGCCGCCCCGGTCCTGTGCTTCTCCATCATCGAGGTGAGACATGAAGAAGAAGCCCGCCGCATGCTCTTGCCTTGTGACCGAAATCATGCTAACCCGGTCGCCCTTTAGCCCCTACTTCGAAATCTTCCCAATGGCTCGCCAATGTCCAAGGCTCTCATCATGGGGATTGCCCTGGCGTCCAACATTGGCGGCATGCTCTCGCCCATCGCGTCGCCCCAGAACGTCATAGCCATCGGCCTCATGCAGCCCGAGCCGACGTGGGGTGACTGGTTCTTCATCGTCATCCCGGTCGGCCTGGTCTCCATCGGTATGATCTGGGTGCTGCTCCTCGTCACCTTCCAACCCGGCAAGGGCACCAACATTGTGCCCATCAGGCCCGTCAAGGACCCCTTCACCGGCACGCAGTGGTTCGTCTCAGCCGTGACGATCGCCACCATCGGACTGTGGTGCGGCAGCCACCAGCTCGAGGAGTTTTTCGGCCACATGGGCGTCATCGCCGTCATCCCGCTTGTCCTTTTCTTCGGCATTGGCCTCCTAACAAAGGAGGACTTCAACAACTTCCCCTGGACCATCATCATCCTGGCCGCTGGTGGCCTGGCGCTGGGCAAGTCGGTCACGTCGTCGGGCCTGCTGCATACGCTGGCCGACGACATCAGCGGCCGCGTCGAGGGCATGAGCCTCTATGGCGTGCTGGTCGTCTTCTCGTCGCTGATCCTGGTGATTGCCACCTTTATCAGCCACACGGTCGCCGCCCTCATCTTCCTGCCTCTCGTCCGTGACATCGGCCGCAAAATGGAGGAGCCGCACCCCAACCTGCTGGTCATGGGCGGCGTGCTGATGTGCAGCGCCGCCATGGGTCTGCCCACGAGCGGCTTCCCCAACATGAGTAAGTGCTTCTGTTTCTCCTTTGCCTGTCCAAAAGACTACGTGCGTCTTGACTGACTCGACCCAACAGCCGCCATCATGAAGGAGGACGCCACAGGCCAGAGATATCTCCAGGTGAAGCACTTCATCGGCAGAGGTGTCCCGAGCAGCATATTAACCCTGGTGGTCGTGGTGACGCTCGGGTACGGGGCGATGAGGGTCATTGGCATGTAACTGCTGCTAGTCTACGAAATCCACAAGCAAACAGTCTCGCCGCCACAGACATGTATAGCTTTGTATTAGTGCCCTAGTCGCCAGTAACGGTGGTAGCGTCATGCCGCCAGGGTTGCGTGCGTCTAGCTCTATCGTGCAAGTGCGGGCACAGTACCTCTTAGAGAGCATGCCGTCAAGTCGATCCTAGATATACTTGGTGTGTCCTTTTTGAGGTGTCTCTCTTCGGATGTCTTGCATGTACATTATATATATATATAGGGGCCCGACTGAACCCACAAGTTGTGTTCCACAAGTCCCTGGGTAGTTTGGTGTTTATTTACCTACCTTCCGAGGAGTATGTGGCATCAACCAGCTCATCGGGGAGATAGAGGCCGATGTCGGCGGTGCCCGAGTGGTCGACATCCCGGCCGTCAACAAGGGCTCCAACAATTACGTTCTTTCAGTCCCTATTAGCATGATATCGCGCTTAAAATACACTAAAGCCGAGAGAAACTCGTCGAGGCCAGGGCTTCGACATCAAGCTGTCAAACGGCGACGGCGTTGTCGCGCGCTTGGCCCGTGGCGATGTCAACATGCCCGACTTGGATGGCTTCCCCATCCACGAGCAAGTCGTCGAGGTCAGGTTTGAGGCGGCAGCCTGCCAACTGCTGCGCTCAGAGCCCGGCATCCTGGCCTCCCGCCTGCTCTACCACCGCGCTCCGGTGCTCCGGGCCGGGCCCGGAGTCGAGGTTCCGCGGGATCTTGCGGGCCGTCGTTTGTCCCTGTTCGAAAAGGCACAGATGGAGAATAACATATCTAATGATCTCGGCTTAGAAGGGAAGGTGTGTGCCCACATCTGGGTTTGTCTTTCGCGCTCGACTTCTGGCCGTTCCCCGCCAATCCATGACCAGAATGATGTGCTGGCCCAGGCCCCGTCGCCGCCGCGGCCAAGCAGTCTCTCCTGCGCCTAATCCCGCGCATCATCCCCGAGGGGGCTTCGCTGTATCGACTCGTGCTCGAGCACGGCGACTTTGGCATCCACAACACGACCATCACGACCGACGTCGCAACCGGTGGGCCCCTTGTAACACCCTTGTAACACCCCTGTTCGACTGGGAGACGGGCCACATCGTGCCAGCCACCTTGTCCGACCCGATGGCGGTGGCCGTTGACCTGACGACGGATGACGAAGCCGCCCCCAGCGACCAGGAAGAGTACGTGGAATAGCCGAGGCAGTATATAAAGGTATGTATCCTTTTTTCATGACCCCCACCGCACGCCAGCCTGGTACAAAAGACTAATCCAACCTCCCACCTCCTTCGCCTAGGTCCTCTTCGGCCAAGCGCGCGGTTACGAGAAGGCGATTAGGCAAGGGAGGGACGCGCGGCACATCTGGTACTCACTGTGAGACTGGCGAGGTGAGGACCCAGGGGCTTTTAGTAATCTAGGGGCCTGGGCTGAAGAGCGGATGGTGGAACTTCGCGGGGAGGAACGGGCCTGAACGGCTCATCGTATCAAAAGCGCACACCAGCTGGAAAACACAACACAGGTGGGCGGGAAGCCCGGGCTAAATACATTCTTTGTTGCCAAAGCGGCTGATACAGGAATTTGGAAAGAGGAGGAAAGGGGTTCATGGTAGCATCAGACATGGCAGAGTTCAGAGTGAAATACATGATAATATCAAGGTGTGTTCGAACTAAATTTACAAACCACTAGGTACATAGGTATCGGGTAATGTATATGCCTATCTATCCACCCCATTCGAGGCAACTGGTGGGATAAAAACCGTGGCCCCGGTGCGACAATCTTTAAACTGGCCACCCAAACAGCTCCCCTCGAGCGGTCTATGAGCCTGCTTCGTGTGGCCTTTCACCCGCGGCACCCCCGAGCCGGTTACAACGAACGAGCATGGTGTGAACCGTGGAGTGTGCGCCGGGGCAATATAAAGTGATTCGGGAGTTCGGGTTGGGTGCTTATGATGGCGCCACGGGCCATTGACTTGGTCACTTGATGTGTTACGATGACAGCCACTACTAGCATTTGTTTGACTTGTATCGCCTCTAAATGCGCCAGCCTTTGTTGCCCGCCATTCAAACAGTAGGCAGGGCCGGGAAAGCACGTAACGCAAGCGCCAGCGCACATCCCGGGGTTGTGGACTGCGAACAACCAAGGCTCGTCACCCGCACGTCGGCGGGTGAGGAGGTCTTTAGGCGTGATGCCTGCGCGGCGGTGATGCAGTTAGCCTTTCCCGTGGTTCGGCCCAAGGGCGGGCCAAATCACTCAGGCCACGAACCCTTCACCTGTATAAATTCCCCTCCCCCCATACGGGACGAACGATGAACGACGAGGTCCGTCCATCTACCACCTCTCCCCTCGACTATCACCACAGCTCCAAGCCACCACAATGTCGGAATACGAGGCATACTACCCAGAAACCTCTAGCGGACTCCAGTCGCCGGCCCTGGCGGTCAACAGGTCCGACGCCCTCGTGGCCGAGGAATTCCACAACCTGTGCCTCCGCCACGGCGTCGACCGCCCGTCTGGTCTGTCCATGTTCCGACACAACGTCGAGCCCGGGGCCGAGGGGGAGCACGCCCGACCGTACCGCTACTCCCTCGACGGTGGCGCCGTCGCCGTCGTCGTCGCCGTCTTCACCTGCGGGTTCAAGTTCAAGCGCGAGGCCCCGGACCCGGCGGAGGCCGAGTCCGCGGCGCTGCCGGCCTTCGTCACCGAGTTCTGCGAGCTGGTTCGCCGCCACGGCGACCGGGGGGCTTGTGAAGTCCGCAGCCGCATCAAAGGCGACGACAAATCCGGACGCGTCCAGGTCATCGAGGGCCGGGCCGAAATCCTACTCCGAGGAGGTAAGTTTCTCACCCAGCTTTGCCATTTTCCCACCCCACACCCACACTTTATTATTCGTATGTTCCTTGTCCAATACATTATCCTCCAGTGCCGAGGGAGCGGTCTTCCTTCGAGGCTGGCATGCGGGCGGGATACCACCGGGACCGCTACATGGAGGCTTTGAGAGAGGAGGAGGCCCGCCGCCTACCCGCCCTTTGCGCCCACCATCAGCCATTCGCGCCGGCCTGCGCTTGTCACCAAACGGCCCCGAACCCATCAGCTGCCATCGTGCTGCCGTTTCGGGCTTGCAGGCATTTTGAGATGTAAAGCGGGGCCGATCTATCTGAGGAGGCGGCCGAGGCCGGAGAGGAGCCCGAGTTGAGCCCGTCGATGTCTCGTGGCTGTGGCTCTTTCAGTTCCGATGAGTGGATGGCCAAGGAGCGAGTAAATCCAACTGCTGGAGAGCTGGGGTATGTCTTGCAAAGCCTTAGCCCGCGATCACATGAATGGTCAGCTAAGGTTCCCCTACACTAGCAGCAATTTCACTTCGCGCCGAGCGGTCTCTAGGTCCTTCAAAATGCAAACCTTCATCTTGACGTTGTCGGCAGGTCACAGTTGGGAGATGGCACATGAGCGCAGGGATTTATATCGCCTAGATATTTCCCTCATTTTGCGTGCGCTTCACAGTGTCAAGGCATTACTGTCTTCTCCCATCCAATCTTTTGTCCAGCCCTACGCTATGTTTGCATTTTTCCCTTTCATATCCTGCATTCATTAGTAGTTCTATTTCGTCTCTGGCCCTCCTGGCTGCCCAGCTTAGAGGAAATGGGGCCCACCACCTCCCTAAAATCCACTCAGAATTGGCCCAAGCCACATTGGAACATGGAGCCCACAATCCCGGCCAATGATATGCAACATCCACAGGGCGAATGGTTTAGGGGTATAACGTTCGCTTCGCACTGCGCATCACAGGATGTGCAACGGCATTGCGAAAGGTCCGGGGTTCGATTCCCCGTTTGTCCAAGCTTTTTGAAGTGCAGATGTAGTGGGCCAGACTTGAGCATGCGACATTATTATTATTATTGTTATTTTTGCCCTGGCTGTATGTTTATCCAAGTGCTTTATTTAGTAGGTAGCTAGCTATCTTCTAATGTAAAGTTACCTTCACGCTTAAATGCAACCCTGGAGACAACATGAGGTGCCACGCATGTGTTTTGCCTTTGTGGCGTTTGTGGGCGTGCGCTGCTCGGACACTTCATCAAGCCGAGGTGTTGTCAATATCGTTATATAAAATAAAATAAAAAAATCA